CACGACGGTAGAGCCATGCCCACTGCCTCGTAATAATATTATCCCAATTAGTGTGGTTGGCAGCGACGTACATAGAAAGCATGTTGCCGAGGGTGCGGTTAAAGCGTTCGGTGAGGCCATTCATCTGTGGGTGGTAAACAGTAGTTTTGCGGTGGACAGAATGGCACTCCGTCAGAATGGCTTCGATGACTTCCGACAAGAAGACACGGCCTCGATCGCTAAGAAGCTCTTGGGGTGGTCCGTGGCGCAGTATGAATCGATGCAACAGGAAGGACGCAACATCGCGCGCAGTAGCCGCAGGGAGAGTGGCGGTTTCGGCGTATCGCGTTAAATGGTCAACGGCAACGATGGCCCAGCGGTTACCAGCCGACGTCAGAGGAAGTGGTCCATACAAATCGATACCTACGCGTCCAAAGGGACGGTCAGGGCAAGGTAACGGTTGCAGACCGGCGTGCGACATGTGGGCTGACGGTTTACGGCGTTGGCAAGTGAGGCAAGAGCGAACGAACTGCTGCACATAGCGGTACATCCCGCGCCAGAAGTAGCGTTGTCGAATGCGGTGGTAAGTTTCGAATACCCCAGAGTGCGCACATTGCGGATCAGAATGGAAAGATTCACATATCTCCAACCGCAGACTGCGGGGTATGACGAGTAACCACTGCCGGCCATCAGAGTCGTAATTGCGTCGGTGTAGGAGGCCGTCACGGATGGTGAAATGGTGAGCTCGACGACGCAAGGCACGCGTGGATGGTGTTGCGGACGGATCAGAGAGCAAGTCGATCAGCGGGGCGATCCAATTATCCTTTCGCTGTTCGGTAGCGAGGATGTCAACATCGATGGCAGATACAGCAATTGAGGTTACTGAGCAGGGCACGCCGTCTTGAGGTAGAGGGGAGCGTGAGAGGGCATCGGCGTCAGCATGCTGGCGTCTGTTGCGGTACAGCACACGGATGTCGTAGTCTTGTAAGCGAAGAGCCCAACGGTCGAGATGGCCTGAGGGATCCTTCAATGATGAAAGCCAGCAAGTGCATGATGGTCGGTGACGACATCGAATGGGCGACCATACAAATAAGGTCGAAACTTTGTAAGAGCCCAGACGATCGCCAGGCACTCTTTCTCCGTGACGGTGTAGTTTGTCTCGGCTCTCGTGAGCGTACGGCTTGCATATGCTACGACATATTCAGGGAATCCGGGTTTTCGCTGCGCCAGGACAGCGCCGAGGCCTACACCGCTGGCGTCCGTGTGCACCTCCGTTGGGGCTGTAGGGTCGTAGTGGCGTAGAATGGGAGGCGACGTCAACAAATGGCAGAGCTTCGCGAACGCGTCGTCGCACTCGGATGACCACGAATTGAGGGGCCCGTTACTTCCAAGGAGCTTCGTCAGCGGTGATATGATCGTGGCAAAGTTTCGTATGAAGCGTCGGAAGTATGAGCACAGGCCCACGAAACTACGCAGTTCTTTGACAGATGCAGGTTTGGGGAATTCGGCCACGGCCTGAAGCTTGGCAGGATCAGGAAGAATGCCGTCTTTGGACACGACGTACCCCAGTAGGGTGAGTTGCCGTGCCGCAAAGCGGCACTTTTTCAGATTTAGTTGCAAGCCGGCATTGCTCACCTGTGCGAAAACTTCTTTCAGACGTTGGAGATGCGTGGAGAAATCCGGAGCAAAGACAATGACATCGTCGAGGTAACACAAGCACGTGTACCATTTCAAGTTGCACAGAACGGTGTCCATTATGCGCTCAAAGGTCGCAGGTGCATTGCATAGACCAAACGGCATGACGTTGAACTCATACAAGCCGTCTGGCGTGACGAAGGCGGTCTTTGGTCGAGCGTCGTCAGCCATGGGTACTTGCCAGTACCCCGAGCACAAATCGAGAGAAGAAAAAAAATCGGCTTCATGAAGGCTGTCAATCGCATCATCGATGCGTGACAGTGGATAAACATCCTTGCGAGTGATCTTATTGAGCCGTCTGTAGTCCACACAGAACCGCGCAGAACCATCTTTCTTCGCAACAAGAACAACAGGAGACGCCCATGGACTGTCCGAAGGCCGAATAACGTCGCGTCGGAGCATATCGTCAACCTGATCATTAATTACTCGACGTTCAGCAGGCGACACATGATATGGACGTTGCCGTAAAGGTGGATGGGCACCAGTGTCGATGCGATGCGTAACAACGGACGTGCGACTGAGAGAACTTCGCCCGACATCGAAAGAAGAACGATATTCTTGCAACAGGTCCAGAAGTTGGGAACGCTGTACGGCCGTAAGGTTGTCAGCGATGGAGGGGCCAAATACATCAGCAGATGACGAATCAGAAGTGGAAACAGCATTGATGGTACACGACCTGGGACCGCGCGTGTCATCGGGTACGTCCAGGACTTGTGCGTCGTCGACTGGTTCCACTCTGCCGAGACATTCCCCTCGAAGCAAGGTAACAGCGTACGGGGACGGGTTGGTTACAAAAATAGCAGCGTTGCCCTGGTTGACCTGCACGGTCGCGAAAGGTACTAGCAGCCCTTTCCTGCTGCAAGCGCGGTCAGATGGCGAAACAAGTGCAATGGTGTCGGAGAGACCGGCGCAGTAGACAGACACAGCCGTCGTCGAGTTTGGAGGCACTGCTGTATCGTCTTTCGTTAGAATCTTGCTCAGTGTCGAGGGACTGTCTTCTGGCGTCAAATGCGAGAAGAGTGAGAGCTCAATTTCGGCGGCGGCACAATGGATGACGGCGTCATGGCGGGAGAGAAAGTCCCATCCCAGGATGACGTCATGAGAGCATGCCGGAATGATGATGAACGTGGCGACATACAGAACGTCCTGGATGACAACGCGAGCTGTGCACCCTGCTGTAGGATGAATACGGTGCAAACTTGCAGTACGGAGGGATAACCCAGAAAGTGGCGTCATCACTTTTCGAAGTAAGCGGCAGAGTTTTTCGTCCATAACTGATACGGCAGCTCCAGTGTCAATAAGAGCCGATGCACAAACACCGTCCACAAGCACGTCAATGACATTCGAGGAGCTGCTCTGAGGACTTTCACATTGCGATAGCGTCGCAGTCCTTGCCTCGGGGACTGCGACGACTAGTTTTCCCGCTCATGAGCAGCCGCACTTGGCCGCATGGGGGACAGGGAACGACGTCGTGGAGACGACGATCTTCGAGATGGACCTGGGCGAGATTGAGGTGGCATAGATGGCGGTTCTTCGCGATAAGGACGGCTGAGTTGGCCAGCAACAGGTGAAGAAATTGGAGCCGGCTGTACGCGATGGCAATAACGGGCCACGTGACCGGCGTAACCGCAGGCAAAGCAGATGGGCCGGTTGTCGGGTGTGCGCCATCTAGATGTTCACCGGGGTAGGTCTCACCCATGTCGCAAGGGCCGATGGACGGAACGGTGGCTGCATGGTGGACTGAAGCTGAGGCTGAGGGGTTACGTCAACATGCGTAGCGGGCACACCCGCTGCAAAGGACGGAGGTCGAGCGGCAGCTTCGGCGTAAGTCAGAGGGGCGGGTGCTGGAACGACTTGGGGCGGCCTGGCGACCACTTGCGCGTAACTCAGGGACGCAGGAGCCGGAGGCTGTGGGGGGTGGTACGCAGGCATTACCTCCGCTATTTCCTGTTCAATCGCTCGACGGATGGGAGGGAGAAGGGTAGTAGGCGATTGTTGAACAGTCGGTTGGTGGGCAAAAGGCAGGAGCGAGAACTGACGCGCGATTTCCTCACGGATGAAGGACTTTAAGTCTGCCATCAACGCCACTTGGTCACAACTGCCCTCCAAGCCAGCAAGCGTTGCAGCTCGTGGTGGGGAGCGTCGGGTCATCGAACGCTGCCGGCGGAGCTCCTCGTAGCTCTGGCACAGTGTGATGACCTCAGCCACTGTGCCGGGGTTTTTGGCGAGCAGCATCGTGAAGGCATCATCGTCAATGCCTTTCATGATGTTTCAGATCTTGTCAGACTCAGACATGGTGGGATTAGATTTGTTGCATAGGTCCAGGACGTCTTCAATATAGCTGGTGAATGACTCACCAGCCTCCTGAGCACGTTCACGTAAGCGCTGCTCGGCTTGCAGCTTGCGAACAGCAGGGCGGCCGAAGACGTTGATGATTGCGGTTTTAAAATGGACCAGGTGGCAAAATCGGACGCGTGGTTGTTGTACCACAAACTGGCAACACCCGTAAGGTAGAATACCAAGTTGGTCAGCTTGCCGTCCTCGTCCCATTTGTTGGGGACGCTCACACGCTCGTAAATGGCGAGCCAGTCCTCCACGTCAGTGCCATCAGCGCCAGTGAAGATGGGTGGATTGCGGATTCTGGGGACACCGGGACAAGGGGGTGGCATTGGAGGAGGCGTTTGCTGAGAAGCGTCGTGGTACATAGTAGATGGCAGGGTACGTGATCGTAGCTCCAAAGGCATAGACGGGGATCGCAGCACTCTCCACCAAATTGTCAAGGCGTTTATTAGCCGGCAACGAGCGAGAATATACAATGGCGACAGTCACAGCCAAGCACGGGCTCTCAGCGCGAGCGGCGTCCTTGTTGGGTAGCCCCACTAGGAGGTACTCAAAAGTTCGACCCATTTCAGAGTTCGGAGGCTTCGCTACAATATAATTTCTGGACCGTGATTAGTTGCCAACAGTTGTTGATAATGTTGCAAAAAAAGTTTTCAACATGATCATTATGGGTTATGATTAATATTGGCTGTCGCGCCTTTCTCTCGGACAATATCTGTGTGTCCTCAACTGAGGCGACCTCACGCTTAATTTTTTCGACACAGCCATAGGTCGAAGAGCAGAATTGGAAGCCAGGTGTGTATGTTTCAAGTGGAGCACATGTGTCACAATGCTTATGTTCTGTTTTGTTTGGTCATTGTTGATTCAAACAAGGTGTTGCGCGTATTGAACTACGTGCAAATGCCACACATTTGGAGTTTTGCATGTTCTACATGAAGTGTTTGATGCCTGCCCTGTATTGATACAAACTTGCTGTGTCATTTCAGAATGTTAGCCACCCTGCTGAGGCAAGCCAATTGTCAGAAAATGACAGGCACTTCTGTCTGCTTGGTGCGCAGTATCATAACTTTTAAAGAGCCTCTCCGCCCGAAGACGATGCCCGAAGGTCTCTGAATTACATTTTTTCCTTCTGGATGCATGAAGCAAAAATTTTATATAACATCAAAGTGTTTGTCTTATGTAGCTAGCATTCTGTAATAGTACAGGTGCTTTAAAAGTAAAATGGAGCACGTGAGCTGTGAGAGACGCCAGAGTAAATGCCAGAGTGCTCTGGCATTCACTCTGGCGTCTCTGCGTTTTTTATTTCTATACCGAAATGATTGTGTTGTCTCCTGGCACATTTCCGCATGAAAATAAGAAACCACTACTCTAATAAAGCACACTGGCATTCACTTTTGTGTAGCTTGGCCATGGCTCACTCGTTCCACCCTTACAATTGGAGCAGCTGTACAGGCGATCGGCCTTTCTGTGATGTTGAGGTACCTGCGGAGTCCGTGAAATTGCGTAGACTCCGTATAAAGTCCTGCATGTAAAGAATCTATTCCAGCTTCGAGATTTTTCAACACTGCTTCTAGTGTTAATTGCAAAGAAAAGAAAGCCAAGCAAATTAACGGAAAAACCAAAACTGAAATGTGGAAGAGTTTAATTGCCATACTCTTCTGAAATATTCAAAATTAACACTAATTATTGTTATATCAACCATCAACCAACTTCATTGTGTCGGTGTGCAGGCTGTGCTTGCAATCATCGCTCGCATGGTGCACATACGTTAACTAATCACTGTATTGAACAGTGGTATCATTTCGGTACATTACTTGTTGCACCCATTAGTGCTTTGTTTTCTGTTTTGCCATTGAATGTGGTTGAATTTCTGTTTTTTCAATTAACAAAGCTGCAATAGATTCTTCGCATGAAGGACATCAATTTTTTCATTTGGCATAACTGTCTAACTCCACTATTTAAGAAGTTAATTTAACTTAATAATTAATGTCTCGAATGGTATTTTTAGCAATCTTAGGATGCCTACAGCTACAAAGAAGTCATTTCAAAGGTATCAAGCAAATATCGCATTTGCCTGAACTTCGAGGATTTTGGACACATTTCTTGAAGCACCCAGTATAAGTGCTACATGAAGGATGCAAAAAAATTATGGGTAGCCTAAATTGATCTAAGTTAACATATTATGTCGTGCTTCATAATTAGACTAGTATTAGCATGTAGAACCCCAGGACACAATCACTTTTATAGAGAAGGCTTTTTCTTCCAACTACATAATGCAAAGACCCTTTTGCCATTCGCTAATCAAACCTTGACTTTGCAGAATAAAATGCTTTAAATATTTGATCTATAAAGGGTGGGTGGTATTGAATAATCAAACAGCTTTTAGTTGAAACCTTAACGTTGAAAGACCTCTGCACATTTTTCTGGAATGTATTTTTTTGTATGGTCATCAGATATAAGCAAGGGCAATGATGTTGGCATGCACACACGTTTTAAATTTCTGGTGTGGGATACTGCCATAATTCTATCTGCCTTTTATTTCAAACAGTCACTACCTTTATACAACTAATTTTTTAGTGTTCATAATTATTACAAATTGTGTGCATATTTGTATTACACAAAGGGCAGAGTTTTGTTAAGTACACATTGCATGCTGTCCTCACTTCCATGCAAAATAATAATAATAATCCTCAAGAGCTTTACCAGTACATCAAGGATGACAATTCGGTAAGAGTGTGTGAAACCAATTTGCCAGGAGCCCTTTTTAATCGGAAGCCTCTACGTAGATTACGTCGAATAAAAAAATATAGTATATATATATAGCAGAAATAATAAGCTTTATCAAAATGTTCTTTGAAAAGTATTGTTATATATTACTGAGAAATATGTTTTCTCTGAGCATGATAGGCCAGTGTGGTTCTGACATGGATTTGTTACATTTCCAGTGATGGAAGCTCTCAAAAGCTATGTGGGATATGTAGGTGACATGTAAGTGCACCAAGCACACTGCATGCATTGTTGAGAAATGCTTGCATCTGTGAATAGCTTTGGCACTTACAAATGCTCCCTGCTTGCATTTTTTCTTTTGCAGAAATTATGATGCAAATCTTACCAGGCACGTTGCTATCTTGGCTCTTTCTCATTTTTCCTGCTCTGCCAAATCTTTGCTGCATGACCACAAGACGAAAGAGACATAGTGCATGACTGAAATGTTGACGTGCTTTGTGAGGGCTGACGTTGGAGATATTCCCCTCCTCAAAGCTTTGTTTTTTACTAAACATAGCCACTGATTGCCAATTATGCATGGCATGTTTCCCATTCTCACCAGTCTTGCACTGCGGTATGTATGCACGTGAAAGGTGGTAATGTCGGTACTTGAAGCATGTGGCTGGTGAACATTGTCGAAGTTGCAGTCTATACACACTGACACCCATCAGTTCCGATTGAGTTTTTTATGTGCCTTTGTGCCTTTCCTGTAACATCCATGCAGCAGTGAAATTCTGCAACCTATGTCCAACTTGTACAGTGTTGTTAAAAATTTGACTGATTTAACCAGAGTATTTCATGTAGTGGTTGTTGTCTTGATGGTTAGACTAGCAGGATAGTAGTGACTTAGAACACTCTGCAATTCTCTACATTATTCTGCGAGCCTTACTGTAGTTTCTGACTATTGTTTCGAAGTAGTAACATTGTCGGTCATCCTTGGTGCACTTTGACTCTAAGAGCATTCCTCTACTTCAGCTCTCCACTATTTCCGAATAACAGAAAAGAGAGCTTATGTCAGAAGCAATGTGTGTGGCATCAACTTGACTCGGATCGGTATCATTTATATTAGCTTGCATTGTAGACTGCTGTATTTTACGCTCGCTAGTCATCAAAGCAGAAATGTTTAATTCAGCTAAAGGATTGTTGGATGTTCACAATTTGTTTTTTCATCGTTTATTTATTAATTGCTGCTTCACCTTGCATAAGTGACCTACATAAACTGCATTTAGTTTGTAACAACAGACCAGCTGGCCGCACGAAGCTTCCGAGTTCCCAAGATGAACTGCCAGTACGCAGCATGGTGGACAGCTATGACGAGTGCATCATACCGCTGGCTAGCTCTTTCGCCATGAAGAAAAGCCACACCTCGGGCCAAGGCTTTGTTCGTTTTGGCCGTATTCTCGAAGACATGGATGAGTTTGCAGGCATGTCTCTATTTTTTATAAATATGCAATAGCCTCAGTGATCTGATTAAAATATAGCCAGTGACATGAAATGATCTCAGTAATGCTTGGATGGACCCTTTGTAGCATATAGTCCGCTTGTTTACTGTTGAATGACACATGTTTTTGTAACTAAGCTGTGTAAGCAGTGTTGCGAAGCTGATGTTAGACAAAACATTCTGTTAAAGCCAGCTTCCGTGCAATATGTTTAGTGTCTGCAAGTAGTAAGTGTTGTGCGAAAGGGGCTTGTGTCATTTTATTTACATTCACTTTTACAGAGAAAAAAATAAAAATGAGAGAGACAGAAAAGAAAGGAGCTACAAGTCCTTTTTTTTGCACTGAAAACCTAGCCAACATCACGACACTTCTAACGGCATTTGAATCAATGTGAACTTTCTGTAGGATATGTTAATTGCTTCATTTCTTTAAGCAATTGCTTAGAAGCTCCAAGCGATTTTCATTACTTAACTAAAAGCTTAGTGATATGCTTATGCTTTCAAGGAGTAGCCGCAACAAAAGGAAGGCTTGAATTGATTTACAGTGTAAAAACGAGGGAAGCCTCATTAAGGTACTGTTTTGGCAAGAAGACACCTTTTTCAAGGCTCTGGTTACACGCTATGGTTCATCATGCAGGTAATTTCTTTTTCTTGAAGCTATTTATTGAAACCAAATATTAAAATGAATATGAACAGAATTTTTTTCAAGTGGCTAGCATTGTGCAGTAGATTCGGCTCCAAACATGTTTGCATTTTCTAACATGCCTGGCTCGATTTTTCTGTTTTAATGAAATCCACAGTGTGGCTGTCGTACCGGTATGTACAGTACCCAGGCCTCAGCTTCGGGGTACCCATGCCAGTGAACATGGTGACTGCTCTAGTGGACAGCATACACAGTGATGACATGGATATTCGACCGCGGCACGACCTCAAGCTTTGTGGTCACATTTCTTGGGTTGGCAAGACATCCATGGAGGTCACCATGGAGCTCCAACACGTACGTTATCTTGTGAAATATTGCGGAAGAATGTCATCCCGATGTGCCGATATGTGATTTTTTAATATGGACCTCGAAGGAGGCTCTCTGCTTTTGTTTGGTGACTGTTTTATTTCATCACGTTTTATTAGCGGAGACTTTGAATGTACCCATGGCAATACTGTGGTGCGTCTCTAGCTAGCTTCAACATCACTGCACATTATCTGTGGAGTTGAGATTAAGTTTACTAGTACATTCAAGCACATTCTTACTCTATTTTGAACAGCAATAGCATTTTATTTTGATGAACTGGTGCATATGTATATTTAATGGAAAGATAGCATAGTAGCACAGGAACAAGGGAACATAGGAAATTTTACTTATTATCTTTGTGGACTTGATGATGATAAGTGATACATGAAAGTAACTTCTAGGATTGTGGTGCATGTTTCAGAATACTAGATGTAAAACTGTGTGATGAACTAGTGGGAAAGTTTAATATTAGTTATGTATTTTAGTCAGCAAGTAAGCAACACCATTAATAGTGTGTTTATCCATCTCTACATATGCACTGCCATGCTGTAAATAATCTCAGAAGTCGCGTTAGGTCGTGTTATGCGCAATAAAAACAGTCGTCTATTGCTGCAGCTGGTCCCGGAACAACCCAGAAATTTGCTCACTGCTAAGTTCGTGATGGTCGCTATGGAAGCTAATGCCACCAAGTAAGTGTTTCAATGCCCTGAGGCATAAAAACTGGGAGCTCTTTCATTCTAAGAAATTCTTGAGTAAACTTATGTTTAAGTGTTGAAGAAAGACAAATGAAATTTGACTGTCTTTTCGTTCACCTTTCTTTGGTAATTATACCTCCAGTGACTAAAAGAATGTCAATTTCATTTTTAGATTCTATTGATAATTCATTTTTGGAATGCAGGGTGTCCTAAAAGTTTAGCACTCGGCTTTGAATCTGTGTGTACCATGCACATCTTTAACATTGACATTAACATTTAGTGTTAGTAAAACAACGACGTGTCATTACGGGGCACCTCGTCACACCTACACAGCTTCGCAGTTGCCACAGCATGAGTAATATGAATGTACATAACAGCTCCGCTGGGATTTAAGCCCATGCCAGTTAGACAATGTGCCATTGGGAGGCAAGTATGTTAAGCACTGAGCTATTGCTAAGCAATACATGTGGTCAATTGCTTCAAGGTACAGCACACACACTCTTCATTCAATAATGTATGTGGTATGTGTATTTACAAGTATGGTATGGAGCAGTTCTGTAATGTATGCGATTCAAGTTGTGCTGTTTTTTATGGACATTGCTCTTCGAAGGAGTTAGATTTTTCTTTAATACACTTTTGAAAATGGCAGCAGCAGCTCAAATGAGACATGCATTGCACTGGTGATAAGCCACAAGCCTCAAGCATGGCTCATACAAACATTGTACCGGGCATTAACCCTTTAATGCCTGAATTATGAAACAGCCACGTGCAACACTCTGCGCCACATGGTACTGGAGTGTCGCAACAATCTGGACATACCCATTGTCGTCACCGCCAAGTGTAAACTGCAAACGAAGAGAAACGAATCCAGAGAAAAGTATACAAAGACCAGTACGAGGCTTTGCTGGTGACGTAAGACCCTGACAACTAGCTGCGATTGGTGACCTGGGCTTGGGTGGGGGCAGTGAGTCATGGCTACCTGTACTGAGGAGGCCACTCACCTTAGGACTGAAGTACAATAGAGCCTGGTCCAAATAAAGTTCATCTCATTCATTCATCAAACCAAATAAAAAACAATCAGTCAAACAACTAAAAACAGTCAAACAAAATAAAAAGTGTTTTTATTTCCAGCTTTAAATAGCAACCTTGAACTGATTCTGCAGTTAAATGATCTAAAATGCAACTTTGATGCATACTTTGAAGGTCGCAAATTCCTCATATGTCACATAAGCGAGGATTTTGCAACAAAAACGCACTTCAGAACTACGTAACATGTCCTGTGGCACATCTTGTGTGTGTTCTTGCCAAATAAACAAAATTATTGAAGATAGAACTTAATTACCCAAGCAAGAAAGAATGAAGAAGTGAGCCATAAGCTAAAAAACAATTGGTTCTAGCATAGAATAACCTAAACGAGACAGTGCTAGATTTTTTATACTGGAAGTGACGTTCCCCTTGAGTACATTACAGGCAACGTTTGTGATGCATTTTGTGACTTGCTTGCTCGAAGTTTTTCGGTTTGTCGCGAATTCGTGACAGCAGTAAAGGGTTAAAGGTCAAAGGGTTGATGGGTAGTAAGCATTGCACAGACCCACATTTGGGGGTGTACTCGTGCTGGTACATTTAGTGAATAGCATTGTCTAAACCAGGGATCTCACTTATGTGGACTGTAGGCCGCATGTGGCCACCAAACCCCTTGCTTGTGGCCTGAAGCGCTCACAACTTTCTCCGTTTGTATGTTTAAAATTTAATTAAATATGTACATGAGCTACTCAAACATGACAGTTCTCAAACATCGTGTTCATGAGACGCCTTGTGCAGTCACCGTGTGTGTTAATCAGTAATCCTAAAACAACTCGATATTTCAGAATATTCAGGCAAGTTTGAGTTATTTCAAAGATAAGTATCAACATGCTGCACCAAATCTCATCAGAAATGTTTTGTTTATGAAATGTGGGGGTATTTTGTTTCAAATGGCAAAGTTTGCTGACAGTTCGTATAAACCACCCCCTTCCCCTCTTCTCTCCCCCAGTTCTACCTTCTTCACTTTTCAACCCTTGCACAAATAAGTTGTGCGACTACGGCCTGCTGGCTAAGTTGAGTTTGGGAGCTCTGACCTAAACCATGCATCATGGCATACAAAAGATCATCAAAGAGCAATGTGACATACTAACTTGCACGGGCATTTATTGAGACTCGATTTTCAGTGGCTAGATTGCACCATATAGTATATGTACTTCATTGTATGTCAAGTCCCTCATGGAACGTTGAAGGAGTGAATGAAAGATGCAGAGGATAATGATCTTTGCTTTGGCAACTCCCACCCAGTTAGTATGAATCATCCTTTGTGTAAATTAAAAAGAAACACTTATGCAAATTAAGTTATAAAAAGTGGTGCTGTTGCAGTACATGAGATCAGAGCTATGGAAACCAGTGAAGTCTGATCTCTTTCTTTTTTGTGCTACTATTTAATAAACTAAAGAATGCTTTATAATGAACCATAATAAGCGGAGTAGTGGTGCTGAATCTGTTTCCTTTTTTTTTTCCATTTCCCAGAACTGTTCCTGTAAATAAGCTTGTACCGAAAAATGAAGAAGAGCAAGCTATTTTTGATGAAGGAGCAGGTGAGGTAGACTAATCTTTATTATATGCATGCATTTACGCTGCATTTGGTGTTGTAGTAAAGCATCATACAGACATTAATATGCACGTCTTTAAATTCACTTGAAAGTGTAGTTTTGACAAGTATAGCACCCAAAATTCAACTCGCATCAGCAAATGAGCTAGTACAATGTGAGTAATTGGACATTACCGGAGGAGGTCTTCAACCTAAAGTGGACATTAAGTAGTGTCTATGGGTGATGACTTACTGTTACCTGTATTGAGACGAAAAATAATTTAGCACGATTGAATAACTTCAGTCTTGTTGAAGGGACAGGACAGTCTATTTCATACTCAGATGTGGCGGAAGTGAGCTGCAAAAAAAATGCATGCACAATGCATTATCTGCATTATTTGAGCATTGCATAAAATCATGCAAAAATTAAGTGAAGTAGTTCTGATACATGCTGCTATGCTTGTTTAAAGAGCCCCTGCAACACGTTTTTGAGTAATGGTTGAATGTCTGCATTAAAAGAGCTTATTGCATGGCAGATCAACTACCACGAAAATTTTTACAACCTGTCAAGTATGAGCAGAGTTACAGAAATTTGTCGCACACTTCAAGCACTTTCTTTCCGTTTTCGTACTAGTGAGTTCATTGAATGTTGCACAGGAAGTGAAATGACAAAGAGGGGGGAGGGGGGGCTAAAAGAAGAATCTTTTTACTAGAACATGTCATGACCTTGAGCACTTTCTTTACTTTTTTTATTGAAGAAATACTTGTAAAATGCAGGTTGCATGCTACACTTAATGTTTGCCTCATGTGTTCTCAAGAGGCTCAAATACCAATTGACAGTATTTTCTGACCATGCTCTAAAGGTGTTGCAGAACCACTCTTTAAGCTTGCAGCTTACATATTTCCAAGTCATCGTTTTCAGATGTTTTTAAGGTAAGAGATTACTTTTGCAGTCTTGAGTTTCACCAGAGATCAATGGTATCAATGGAAAATGATACCACTGACCTATATTTTTTTTCTGCCAATTCCTAAGAGGCTAAAATTAAACAGGGTTTTCGATTCATTGCAGTAAAAGCGGCTGTCAAATCTGGGACTTTGTGAAATAGCGCTTTCACACAAGCTCACATTCCTCTTCTGTAGCTTTGGCTGTATAGCTGCAGAAAGTTGTCTACAAGTATAATTAAACAGGTTAGCGCAAGTGGTGAAAGGTCAAGTGAAAATTGGTGTATATTCAATGTCTTGCAGCCAGTGTTGCACGAAGAAAAAAATTCCAGGAAAGTGGCATTTTTAAGCAACCACCAACGCAAGAAGAGAGAGATCTCCTTCACAAGCTTTTTCTGGAAGACTTTGATCCAGAGTAAGCTGCTTGCATCCCATTGATAACAGACAACCTCTAGTGTTGTGTATTTTCAGTACACAAAGTCATTTTCAATCTTACATGTGTAAGTACAGGTGAGTTTTGTTATAATGAAGTCTTGGAGTGAAAAATATGTCAGTTCAGTCAGATTAGGGTTCAATGCACTCCTATTTTATCTATAGTTGGTTCCAACTTGTCCACTTTTACATATGCTTCATCAGCTATTTCACAAGACTGAGCTGGTTAAGAAACAGTTTTGCCACTGTTCTCTTTTTCTGCTGCCTCATGGTAGTGTGTTGCATAGCGCTGTCAATTTGTCCGCATGTTGTGTGCACAAGTTTCATTAAAAGGAAGTAGGAATGAGCTTCCTGAAATCTGCAGAAGGTATTCATTGTAATTATGTCCACAATATTGCTCTGCTACAGCAGGCACACAGAAAAAGACAGCCATACTGGGAACCGGCACAGCTTGGGCAAGTGTCGGTCTCCAGCTGTGTATGGATGTGGTTCCGAGCAATATGGCGAGTTTCCTCAGCTCTTTAAGTCCTTGGTATCAATGCTTGGCTATACTACCCTTTTAAAACTGTGCACCCATTATTTTTTTTGTCGGAATTAGTGTGAGAATACTAGGTTCACTGTATTCTATTTTGACGGGATTCCCCAGCAGGAAAGTATCTAGGGAACATTAAGGAAAAAAAGGTGTGCACAGGTGTGACAATAATTGTTGTGATACAAAAATGCATCGTTTAAAGCATATGTCTTGGGGGCCCCGTAGCTGCAGCCAATTAATGCTGACATTGTGTCTCTTTATTACAGGACATACATCTTAAAGTCTGATGAGTGTCCTGTCGGTGCCATTTGGATGCAGGATGCAAAGCTGACCAACGTGGTCATCTGTCAGCCTGAGGTAACGAAGCGCTCTGAAAGTTAACACATTCATTGTAATTGCCTTAAATGTTTAAGTCCTAATAATTCCTATGTCATAGCTTAGTTGAGGATGACATGTCGTATATATCGGGTGCATAGTGACCCACAAGTAAGCCACGCACCTTTTTTTTTAGAACTCCAGAGCGATGGCACATCTGTAAGCAACAAGAATTTTTTATGTAACATTGACAGACATCAGCTCTATAATACAGCAAAGACCCACAATTGTACAGCTATAAAGGCAAAATGAACATTTTGACACTGTGGCCAAGCGTGCAGTGAATGTGTTAGTAGGGGGCACATTATGTGGGTGAAATTTGTGCTCTTGTAGAGGAGCGCCCGTCCTGTTTATGTGTTCCTTCTATGTCTCCCTCTGGTTCTTTATTGTGCTAAGAATATGAATACAAGTGACTCAAATCAACTAGCCTGCATCAGTGCTTTGACTGCCTTCGTAGTGTTGTTCCTTAGTAGCACGTTAAGGTTTTTGTGTGACCACACACTATGGCTGGTGCAACTATGAAGACTACAAAGGGAGCCTGTTTAAAGGACTGTACTACAGGATGTTTTTTTTTTTTTTGTTGAAATGTATTCTAAATCTGCAAGAACAGGGACCCCGAATGCTTCTGAGCTGCTTATCAGTGAATTTATGTACTTAAAGGGGCCTTGCAACACTTTTTGAGCATGGTCAGAAAGTGCTTCTGATCGGTAGTAGAGGCTCCCAACACGCAAACCAAATATTATAGTGCAGCACGCGACTTGGAATTCACAATAAATTAACAAAGTTGGCTGAAAATTGCTTTCTCTTATCTCAACAAATCACGGAATAAGCCCAAAAATCATTCGTAGTGAGCCCAAATATCAGCCATTGGCTGATTTGAACATGGTGCGCTTGATTGTTACAGAGATTGCCGCAGGAGGCTGCGACTTATCCACGGGTGCACACACGATCACACTGAAAAAGCCGTGCATCACACTGATCACACTGAAAAAGCCATGAAAAAGCCGTGCAAGAGAGAAGGGAGAATTCAATCGCAGCATGCGACAAATCTTTTTAACTCCACTGGCACTGGACGGATTTAAAAATTTTTTGCGCCATTTAATTCGTGAGGCAATAGGCTCTTCCTGAGAGTTCATTCCATGGTTACTTGAAAAAGTGTTTCAGAGCCTCTCTAAAGGAACATATTTAAGTTGAACTGGACTGTATGGCATTCATTTCGGTAGTGCAAAAGATACACACACACAGACACACACATAAGATGACCTGTAGACAGGACAGGCGGTCTCTGTCTTGCAAAGAATCTGATCACATGCCTAAATTGCTGCTACTGTAAGTAGTACAAAATTAAGGACCTACCTACAAAAAATTATTATCTGCTTTTCCTCCTTTTTTGAATTCTTGACATCGTAATGCTAGTATGAAGCCTCAGTTTCTTGAAAGCACCACAAGTTATTAATTACAGCTTTGTTTATGAGTGTAGTAAGTTCAAAATTCACATTGGATGTAGTGCAACTTCAAACAAGAAAAGCATAACAACAGTACTGAAAGTTGGGCGAGTTGGTACTCATTCATGACTTCTTTGCGCAAACACGTACACGGACACAAGGAAAAGAGGCAAACAACACGGGCGCAAACTCACAACTAGTTTATTTAGAACAACGAACTGTACTTATATCTTCACGTAGCCCACACGCCCCCCATCAGTGGATCCAGGAACAAACGAGATAACCTAAAGAAAGCTTATTCAGCGCTACGTCATGATAAGAACCACAAAACAACAAAAATTGAAAAGTTCACGCATCTGCAGACGGATTGTTGCACGTGCCTTTCAAAAAGTCAAATTCTTTATCGGACATGGTGACGGAAGCTTGGCCAACACGTTTTTCTCCCATGTTTCTAATATGGAATGCTTCAATCAACTCCCTGTTAATTTTTCTCTTGTGAGTTGACAGAATCTTTGTGTCTGTAAAAATTGGTACGCACCCACAAGACTTGCAGTGATCCACCAGATGTGTTCATTCTGAACTACGTAATGCCGAGTCGTGCTCCCTCAACCGTGTGTTTACACACCTTCCAGTTTGCCCGACATAAGATCTGCCACAGCTGAACGGAACCGGGTATACCACTGCTATTCTGCAAGACCGGTATTGTTGGCTGTGTTTCATCTGGCAGTTGTTCTTATTCTGCGTAGTGCCGGACTCCACCATGTTCCGAAGTCGTGGACACAACTTTGACAGCTTGTTGGGTGCTGTAAAAACCGAGGTTACTCCGTATCTCGCTGCTACGTTCTTCAAGCCATGGGACAACCTATGAACATATGGGAGAACTGCAACCTTTCTTTTTTCACTTTGTATTCTTCTGGGACTTCTTTCCGTACCTTTTATCACTGGGATGAGTTTTTTGCAAATAGTGTTCAGCAAATGGCTGGGATACCCAGCTGCCCTGAGCCTGCTTAGCTGGTCCTGAAAGCTGGAAGCAATCTCGTGCACACACTGGGAACATGGGAGAAAAATGTGTTGGCCAAGCTTCCGTCACCATGTCCGATAAAGAATTTGACTTTTTGAAAGGCACGTGCAACAATCCGTTCGCAGATGCGTGAACTTTTCAATTTTTGTTGTTTTGTGGTTCTTATCATGACATAGCGCTGAATAAGCTTTCTTTAGGTTATCTCGTTTGTTCCTGGATCCACCGATGGGGGGCGTGTGGGCTAGGTGAAGTTATAAGTACAGTTCGTTGTTCTAAATAAACTAGTTGTGAGTTTGCGCTTGTGTTGTTTGCCTCTTTTCCTTGTGTCCGTGTACGTGTTTGCGCAAAGAAGTCATGAAGAAAAGCATAGAAAACTGTCCACATTACCTAAAGTGGAGGTGGTGATAACATGATATTGCAAACCACTTAAGAGCACACCTATCACTGACACCTAGTGCAGTAATTGAGGGCCATTGACTGTGTTGTTGAGAGATTCAAGTTGAGCTATTTTGATTGTGAATGCCTCCTACAAATGCAGGGTAACCCACTCTCCCTCTTGTTCCACTGACTGTTGAATGAACTCGGAATTTCACTGCACACTTATAGCATGTGTGTATCTGTCAGTAATGCCTCGAATCACGGGATTGCCACAACAGGATTTAGTGATGCGAACAGCTTCCTTCTTTACACATTGGGGGTTTCTGCCATCTGGCCAGATGATGGAATGCTGCATTGCCTCAAAAAAACATTTATTAGTACAAAAACTATCAGCACTTAAATACGCAACTCAAAGGGCTCAAGGACACCGCACATGCTGGCAACCGTTCAGCCCTCAACGCCCCAACTGTCCAATACACGCGCACGCCCAGCCTTTCACAAAGTCCCCACGCATCATGTCAGTTGCGCTCTTGTAGGGGAGCCATGAAACGTGTGCACCCCTACCACGTAGCACGCACCCCTACCACGTAGCATTACACCACAACACCCTAAGTCACAGCTTGTTAACGTTTATTCTGAAGTGGTCACATTAAACTGTCGTGGCGGCGACCAGACCAGGCGACAGAGTTGCAGTTGTCCTCTCCTAACCAGTTCTTCCCCCCTACTCAGCTCTCTCACCTTGCGGGGAAGGGAAGGGCGAGTTGAACTAAGAGAACAAAGAGCCAAGGTAAAGACAGTTGAGGGTTGGGATTAACGCCATTTGGCTGTATTTCTTCACCGCATCTGAACATTGGCAACCCAGGCAAGGCTAATTGCCAGTTCAGCATATCGATGCCATTTAGGTCGCTACTGACATAGAAGCCATTTCCGCTATCGACATTAGGCACCTGCTGTTTTCAACAGTGGACTCGCAGCTTTGGTTCCTGCTGTTGTAGTCTCAATTCATGGCTGGTCACATAACTGTTAAGCTAACAAAGTACCACAACATGGTCGCTAGCCTCCCTTTGATTATAGCGACAGGAATACGTGATCTACTGTCGCTCCGCCTGCAGAGAACAGTTACACAACGCTCAAGCACCTGCTCATCAGCCGTCTCATGCCATCAGAGCCTCGGCGACTGCAGCAGTTACTGCACGCCACGGAACTTGGCGACTGAACCTCTTCTCAACTACTGCGCCATTAGGCAGCTACTGCATATGACAAACGCTGCAACCATCGACGCTGACAGCAGACTAGTTTGTGAGCTCGTCCTGCAGCGACTTCCCAACAATGTGCGCAAGGTTCTCGTCTCAGCTGGCAACAAAACATATTCCTTAGCTCACCGAGCTCGATTACTGTTGCTCTGCTGTTCGTCATGGCGTTGCCGACTGGAATCTCTCTTTGCCCACCATGCTGAGTGACATATCCTGTAGGCTGGTCAGCCTACAGAGTACCTCTCTCTCAGCAAGCCAACATAGTCAGTGCCCGCCATGCAAAGAGAAGTACCCTTCATTCTGGTTAGCCGAGCCCTGTCTGAGGCCTGCAACTGCCACAGCCAGCAGCAATTGCGAGTCTCAGACAATGGCTCGGCTGACCAGCCTGCAGGGCACCCCTCCCAGCATGGCAATCATTGAATATATAGGCTTGCTGCACAAAATCGCCAACGAGTAGAGCGTCGAGGTCACTTTCGTGCCATGATGAGCTCAGCCCTGATGATAAGCTCCAATGCCTGGTGCAGCTGAAATCGCCGCCCGCAGTATGCTTTGGGGCAGCAAACATGCCTGAGCAGGCACAGGTGGCTGCAATGCGCTGCACACTGTATTACCTGAAAATCATGACGAAGAAGTGAGGCAGGCAGTGTGCCTGGCTTATCAGCATGCTGGTCATTTTGGATTGAATGGAGGACAACTGTCAATTTGTCGCCTGGTTTCTCGGCCGTCACAAAATAGCAATTTTTTTCTGCTCTTCAGGAATTGAGGCTCCGAGGCATAGTTCAGGGGCGGATCCAGCCACTCATTTTAGGGGGGGAGGGTCGCCTAAAGTAACACCTGAGAAGGGGGTGTTTTGTTTTTATTAGCTGAGAAACCTCTTCATAGCATGTATACCATTTATGTGTGCTCACACTAGTTTCACTCATTTGTTCTGATTGGTGACAGGAGGTGGTATACGAGCACAGAAGTGATTGGGGGGGGCTGACACAGACTTTGGGGGGGGGGGGGGCAATCGCCTCTACCGCCCCCTTCTGGATCAGCCACTGGCATAGCTACCAGCTCGGCAGAGTTCAGTAATGAGATAAATAAAGGCAAGAATTTATTAGCGATACTTCCCTGAAGGCATTTAATTGTAATAAGCAGAAGTTGGTCAGTTTTATTTTTTCACCACTAAATGCCAGTGCTTTTTCTCGTTCCTTTGGGTGTCTAGTTTGAGAATCTCTACAACAAGGTGTTTGGTGGCTTTCTCATGAGAAATGCCTTTGAACTGGCATGGGCAACAACGTACATCCTCAGGTCAGTATTACTTTCTTTCAATTCTGCGATGTTATTACACCGTATGAAACTATTTAAGGCATCTCAGTCATCAATTAATGTTAAGCAAATTGAAAAGTAGATAACTAGTGCAAGTTGTAAATTTCTAGTCATTGTAATAAACCTTGCTATGATTATTGGCTGCTTGACATTGCTTTCCAAATTGTGAAACAAGTTTGAGGTTACCATTTTCAACAATTACTTAATCCATATCATTATGGCTTTTTATAGAAAATATCCACCATTTTGCTCAATTCAATAAAAAGTTTCCTGAACCCTGCTTTTTATTCTTGGCTATAACTCGACTGCTTCTAACTGTGATCTTGATATGACAACATAGTAATGCTATTTATATAATCAATTCATTAGTTTTTGAAATAAAACTTTAATAGATTGAAATAATTTGGTTTGACATTTAAAGATATGCATATAAAATTGATTGTCTTTATTACAATGATATTCCACTCTATAGCAAAATCAAGCCTTTCAGCTACTCTCTATTAAATCTAAACTGGACAAGCGGAATTTGTCTCCTGAATAATGTATCAGAGTTAGTGTTGGTGTAACCTCCACAGTCCAAATTTACCAGTTAGGAGCAGGTGCAGTGTCATGGAAACTAACGACCTTTCTACGTCACAGTGGACGTCGCCCCAAGACATACCACACAGATGACATCTGGTTCAGGAGGCCTGTGGAGTTGGGCTCTCTGCTCCACTATCAATCACAGGTATGGAATGCTAATAGGGTGTGAAGGCCGAAATTTTTTTTTGTGTATGTGCACACATTGTGAGGTCATTGTTCAGAAAAAACGCTAGTCAATGCCTTACAATTTCACGCTCTTTACTTCACGTACGCTAGCTGAGCCAGTGGTCCTCATCAACACATTGTGCTTTGTATTTTGGAATAGTACTTAATTTGATGCCACAGTTAACATTGCGTGCTATTATAGTCAAATGATAATGCCATTAAAAAAATACTACTACAGTTGCAGGTACTGTTGAACCCCTTTGAAAGGGACATGCACTGGGGAGTAATTCTCGACTTTAATATGAGGTGTTCCCAATAAGCAGGGTACCATCATGTATGGATTTTCTCATCAATCTCAATTCCACTGTAGGCAAACTAATGTCGACACGTGGGACACGCTGTCTGAACACTGTCGAGTTCAGACAGCGGGTTGGAAGTCTGAACATTGATGGTTGCTTACACCCAGGACAACTTTGTCCAAGTCAATGTAAATGCAACAGTGATCAAACCTGACAAAGGCACAAGGGAAATCACAAATGTTTTCCACTTGAGTGACACACCCTCTGAACACTACAGACAGCGTGTCAGTATTATCAACACCAGTGTGCCTAAACTGTTCAGAATTAACAGTTTGTTGTTAGTTCATGCTCGTGTTGTATACTATCGTGTTTTTTGTGCGCCTTTGTGTTCAGACAGCGCACCGCATGTGTCAATCATCTACAACCAATTATGTACTCTGGTCTGTCTACACTGGTATTTCTTACACCCATTTATCTCTTACATCAGTGTCTCCTACAAAGGGGTTCAACTGTAGTGCATTACAGTCACTGGCACACATACATATTACAGATTTACTGGTTTTCTTGCAGTCTCATTATTTACGCCTCTATTTTCTATCTCACGTTTTCACAATCTCTTTGCTGTCAGGATGTTTACTCTTTCACATGCAGCTTTGACTCGGCAAGTAGAACTGTTGCTCCAAGCAGGTAGCATGGTATTAGAAATAGACCACTAGGCCAGAATTGTAACTGCAGCTTGTATGGACGTGGTCACATTACCAATAATTGACATAATTTGGAAAGACTCTTTCAAGACGATAGAGTTGTTGGAGCTAAGCGAGAGCTCTGCAGGTTTGGTTGAAAAATGCTCACTACCACTTGTAAAAATTTCATGTAGAAAAAAAACCAAGTGCTAGTGCCTGGGCTATCACCGTTCTGGTAAAACGAGAAGATATTATCATGGGGTCGTGACAATAACGGGAGAAGACAGTAGGTCAATGTTTATTCAGCCGAACTTGTGGCCACGTAAAAGGAAATGAAGATTATAGCGACACTGGCACTGATATTGGCGAACTGAGCGTCGATCGTCGATCAACTGACAAGCGGCGAAGCGCGTTGGCATTTATACCCTTGCCATAGAATATTCTAGCATTATCGCTAGTGGCGGCGTAGGTTCCCAAAAAATCTGCGACGTTCCCAAAGTGGGCGTAATCTTAACAAAATGATCTACTGAAACCTTGAACCTTTTCGAATAACGTCGGCACAGTTTGCACTGAACATAGTGTAACGAGGTGATAACAAAACTTGAGAAAAGAAACGTGTCAATATATAAAGTAGTCTGGTGGGCTTTTCAAGTTTCTCGCCATAACTAAGACTATTTCCGTCACCATTCTTACGCAGGTTGTTTACACCCGGGATAACTTTGTCCAAGTCAATGTGAACGCAACAGTGATCAAGCCAGTCAAAGGCACGAAGGAAATAACGAATGTTTTCCACTTCACTTTCTCTCTTGATGGAGAAAATCCAGCTCCCAGAGTGATCCCCAGGTCTTACCCTGGTAAGTTCTAGAAACAAAAGCATATACCTGGCACTTGGTGCAGGTTCTGCTTTTGATTTTACGAAAAATTTCTCTCGGGAAATGCTAAAACTGTGCTTCTCCTTATATGCAAGGTTCAGTCATGAATGCATCGTACATTTGTTAGCAATATGCACTGCTCAGAAGTTTGCTCGCTTACTAGCGGGCTTTCTTGGTAACCTTATTGGTAAACACACTCCAAAAATGGGCACAGCGTACAAATAATGCAGAAAACAGCATGCATAATAAAGATGGTGAAGTATCTTGGTGCTTTTCCCATCAAATGGCCTCATCTTGCATCATCATCATCATCGGGATAGTAAAATGTTACAATCATGTAGTGCGCCATGCCACAAAATCCAGTACACATATTTGCAGGTTGAATGAAACTAGGTGCAACGGACAGCATTGCTCGTGCTCAGCCTGAAGTATGTTCCTGTTTTAAATATTTACACTTAAAATGGAATATACCTTAAATCCCAATATTCAATTGAAGTTTGAAAAATTCAATTGTAGATCTCTAAAGAACTGGTGTCATTGCAGGAATACTGGAAAAATGTTCTCGCACTTGTGCTACAGACGTGTTTCTTAAAACCTTATTATATTTCAGATAGTTAGAGATAGGAACATATGGTACAAGCACGTGCTAGAAATGAAGTTGCCATCATAGTACAGCATTTCAATTGTGCATATTCTCTTCCATTAACTTGCAGTTGTGCATCGCTTTAATGGAGGTTTGGCTGATATTTAAATCTGCTTAAGTGCTTGTTGCACTATAAAAAAAAAAGTCTTACTAATTATGACTTGTCCTCTTGTCCTTTATGCAGAAAGTATGCTGTACATTGAAGGAAAACGGTACCTGGATCAAGCCTTGTCAAACCGAAAGCCTGCAGCAAGTCGCAGTCACGACAAAATCCACAGCACTAGCCATGGCTCAGCCCACGTATAGGAAACCAGTAGCCATCATGAACCAAAAACGAAGGGAGCATGAGTTCAGAAACAGTACAGCAGTGTGCCAAACCACCACCACTGGACTGTATGCTTGATTTGAGGTTGCGAACGTACATTTTACAGCAGCCAGACTAACCCATGGCCAAAGCAAATTGAGCGTTTACAATGCTTTATACATAAAACCATATCTATGTCACAGGTGCAACTACAATACGAAGAATAACAAAGAAAAATTGCTTTGTCTGTTACATTTGTATTTAAGCTTTCTTTACACGTAGTCGTTGGTATCCAGAACGGCGGACTTTTTAATGTGTTGGCCTCTACACGTGCATTTAGCTTTTACTTGCTACGTTTTGAACCTGCAGTTTTCTTTTTTAGATTGCTGTTACATTAATGTATATACATTACATATATTAAAAGACTAATTATACTTGATGTTGCTTTTGTGATTCAAGTTTATGTTGCCATGTTACAAAGACTGCAAACAAGATGCAAGTGCACATATACAAGAACCAATTTTACTTCGTGCAACTAACTGGAGGCTTCGTGAACTTTTCTGCGTGAAGCACAAATACTACAAAAGATAACAAAAGATAAGCTAACGCTCTTAAAGGCATATTGCCACAAGAGTGCTAAATTTAAGGGAAGGATATGGCAATGAGAATGGTAAATTGGGTAAAAATTTTTTTCTTTTCTGCATAACAGACTATGCTTCATGTCATGGTGAAGTAGTTCACCAAAATAAGCAGTAAAAGTTGAGGAAAAAGCATTTTACCAGTGCCCTGTCATCAAAAGTGATGAGAAAATTGGGCTTTAGAAAGTGCAAATCTGCAGCCTTCCGTTGGCACAGTGCTACATACTGGCATCATTGTAGAGAGGACAGATCGGAGCTCAAGACAGCATAAAAGCTGCATTTCTCTATTGCAAAATGTAATGATCTTCCATAAGAGTTCTATTTTTTTAGCTTTTAGGTCCAATTTCTTTGACCTTCGTTTCCTCGGCTTTCACTTTTTGAGCAGTTGTCGTCAGTCATCTTTATACCGTTTCACAACAAATAAAAATGTCACGTTTTTCGCACCGACATCCTCAGCCATTCGCGAGCCGTCAAGGGATCCATATTTGTTTGCACGTTACATAGTGTTTTATAACTGGCTTTTTATAAAGATTGTAAGACAACATCTGCAGGGCATATGGTGCGAAGAACTTTATTTAAAGATCTGGAGAACTGCCACGCTTGCGGGCCGCTCCCACATGGGGAGACAGACCTAACCTAACCGCCGGATCGCAGGCTCTCTGGACAGCCAAAAGTTGATGGCGATATTCCGAGCTCTTGAGGGCCAAGCTCTATTCCTGCTCTGAGAGGTCCTTATCCCACATAACAAGGAGCACTATCAAAGCTTGTGATTTAAGCCACATGTTCCCCGCAGCAAGGGTACTGCGAGCTGAAGTCCCTTCGGAATAGACAGTGCTTGAAATCGAGATTTGGATAAGAATTAGTTTGTAGCATCCTAAGGGTCATCGCATGTGGTCTCGTGAGCTTTTAGTGTGGTGGAGGAAATATTCTTTTTTTCAGATACAAGTGCTTTGTGAATTAAATGTTAATAATGTGTCCCAGAATTCTTTAACCCATCACTGCGACAAGGCTTCCCATCACACATGAAGAGTTAGTATGTGCACTTGGGAGTGGGCGAGGTAGTCGAGGTTGGTGAGAGAGTTGAAACTTTGATGTAAGTGTGCTTGGAACCAAGCGATAGTGTGCATAGTTATTGTCTTGTACTGGACAATAAGAAAATTTTTGTGCACTGAATATCAAAATTAACAGGTTTACGGCACAGAATGGAAACTCAGAATATCCTTGTGCTAAAACTTGACGAAATAATGTCTAACTCGTTACTTATGGGGTGACAATAAAGCCTAGACTTGTGGCAGTTCTGTGAAAGCATCTGAATTTTCAAGCATGTTCGAAAAATTTGCAGTTTTGTCAGCTTTATCACTGATGTCTGTTGCATACCTGCCAACTCTTCCGATTTTCCCGTAAAATGTACGAATTTCGAATGCGCGTACGATTTTACGAATCTTGCCTGAAATTTACAAAAAATATTTCATTTCCAATAAAAAAAAAAAATTGGTAAGATAGCGTGGCTTCCGCGATTGGCTACAGCGCATTGCCGTAGCTGGTCACGGAGGCCACAAAAACAGTGTTGTGCTATATTCCGCCACCAGGAGAGAACTGTATGTAGTGGTGTTATCACGTACTAGCAAAGTCTCCCGCATTGTCCGGGAGACTCCCAGATTGCAACCATTTTTTCAGTGTGTTGGGTTGCCATAAAAATCTCCCAAAAATCTAAATGTGTGTGCGAGATCTGGCCACATTGACGAAAATGCAGGCCAGTCCGTTGCAGGCTTTTTGCGAGCCCACTGCATTATAAACATCTTACAGAAGAGTCTCAGCGATGCGAAACCGCGAGATACAAATTTGTGAAATTCCTCAGCCAAGTTCATGTGTCTGTTGGGTCAAAATTCGAATGTTTCATACACTTTTTCTAATCACGGTGTGTGATATTGTCACGATAAATCACAAGTACTCGGGGGTTTATTAAACCACCGAGTAGCTAGCTCCAGGACAATCATGGCTGGCTTTCGAGCAGAGAAAAAGCAAGAGATCTTTTTTCCTCCAGATTGAGAGCCGTTCTTGCAGTCAACCCACTACGTGCGGGTGGCATTACCTCTTGCCGTCACCTACTATGTGCGGGTCACATTATTTCCCCTTTTGAAAAGAAAGAACCAAAATAAGGAAAAAAAAGTACATAGCACCACCCCCATACTATAACATAGGCACGTGAAAAAAAAGAAATTGGAAATTCGTAGAAATTAAGCGAAAGTAGAAATTAAGAAGCATGCTAATATATGAAACGTCAATAAACAAAGCAAGTTAACAAAATTAAATAAAAAGCAAAAAGAGCGATGTACGGTAAAGAAAAAGTTACACAATGCGCAATAATTGGTTTCATGCGCAACACATGAACGTCTGCCCTCGTTCGTGTCCTGCTCCGTGCCAGGGGTGTTGAGTCCGAACCACTTCTAGTTCATGTCACTGACGCGGCTTAACACTTTATATGAGCCGAAGTACCGGCTCAGTAACTTTTCACTAAGGCCATGGCGACGGACGGGTGTTTACACCCAAACTTGATCTCCGGGGTAGTAGAACACTTCTCTGTGGCGGGTGTTATAGTGTCGTGCGTCTGCCTGCTGTTACTGGCCGATGTGCAGTCGCGTGATCTGCCGGGCTTCCTCAGCATGCTCTGCGAAATCTTCAGCGCCAGTTGCCAACTCGTCATCTTGACACGGTAACATACGAGTCCAGCATGGTCTGCACTTCGCGGCCGTAGAGAAGCTGAAATGGTGTGAATCGCGTGGTCTCTTGCACAGCGGTGTTATACACGAAGGTCACATAAGGTAAAATCGGGTCCCATGTTTTGTGCTGTACGTCGATGTGCATTGAGATCATGTCTGCGAGGGTCTTATTCAGTCGCTTGGCAAGTCTGTTGGATTGCGGGTGGTACGCATTTGTCTTTCGGTGTCTGGTGTTGCTTACTTTGAAAACTTCGTCCATAAGCTGCGCCGTGAATGCCGTCCCTCTGTCCGTTATTATACTGGAAGGAGCACCATGTTGTAACACGATGTGGCGCATGAAAAATTTTGCTACCTCAGAAGCCGTGGCTCGTGGGATCACCTGCATCTCAGCGTAGCGTGTGAAATAGTCGGTGGCGACGATTACCCATTTGTTGCTGTCCGCAGACAGAGAAAATGGCCCGAGAATGTCCATGCCGACTTGGTCGAACGGCATGAAAGGTGCTTCAATGGGCTGAAGCAAACCAGTTGGCGTAACAGATGGTTGCTTTCGGTGCTGACATTCCCGACAGCCCTTGAGGTACTTCTTGACGCTTGCCGAAAGTCCTGGCCAATAGTACTTCTCGCCCTCTCTGGCAAGTGTCCGTGAGTAGCCTAGATGACCGGATGTGGGTTCGTCATGGCAAGCGAAGTGGACGTCGTCTCGCATGTCTCGAGGAACCACCAGGAGTTAAGCACATTCGTTCGTTTCTAGCTACACAAATGCCTTGCTGCAGGAGGTGTTCTAAGTTTGTCTCGGCCGCCACATCGTCATAGCCCAAACCACAGCATGTGACGTCAACTACAACACTTGCTCGTGGAGGAAGCATCACGCTCTGTTCAGAAATACGGAGTGCGTCGGCACACCTTACGTCATCCTGCACGTTGATTGCTCGCTGTGCTGAGAATGTGATGCAGCGCTCTTGCAGATCAATGATAGCTCCATTTTCCTGTAGAAAGTCAACTCCCAGAATGACGTCACAGGAGCATTTGCGTAGAACAAGGAAGCTTGCTACGAATGTATACCCTTGAATCTGTACTGTAGTTGTGCAGGTGCCCAGTGGAGTAACAGTGGGGCCACGAGCTGTCCGAATCTGCGAGTTATGCCACGGCGTGATTACTTTCTTCAGCTGCGTTGTGAGTTTGCCGCTTAGTATCGAATAGTCTGCGCCAGTGTCCACTAACGCATTAACTGCACAACCATCAATTGTCTCTGCTATGTCGAGTGAAAGCCGGCTATCCTTTGCAGCAGCAGGTGATGTCGGACCAGTTTCTGTACGGTTCAGCGTCAATAGGAGCTCTTCAGCGCTTCGACGCTCAGCGAACCCGCCCCCAGTGGTCCCTTCGGCTAGTTTTCCCGACGGGGCCTGAGAGACCGTGCGGTAGAATACCGGTGGTGCATGCTGCTGGGAGAGATAGTTTTCTATGTCGCGGGGTCGCTGGCCGTAACGGGGTGGCGGCGAGTACACAGAGAAGCTGCGAAGCCCAAGACAGCGATATGGGCACTGGTGGTATAAGTGATCAGCTTCTCCACTGTGAAAGCATGGAGGCCGGTGATTAGGTGTGCGCCAAACATCAGACTTCCGAGAAGACGTGTACCGATCGTCGATGTATTGGACCGGTTGCACCGAACGATGAGCGACATAAGCACCACGGACAAAGGGCAGGGCGGTGGGGTGAACGTGCGTCGGTATGTACGGAATGTGCTGCGCTGACTGGAGTGAAACGGCAGGAACAGGATGGACGAACAATGACGGCGATGCAACAGGGCATTTCAAGGCTTCTGCGTAGGTTGTCCCATGGCGGTATTTAGCAGGAGCTGGCGCAGCTGTATCAGGAGGCATGGTGTCCCAGAGAGCCTGGTGAAGCTCATCCTTGATCACGGTTGTAACAGACATAACCGTAGGATGAGGTGTGACACCAGTCTTTTGCAACTTTTCACATACTATATTACGGACGAGTTCACGTAGGCAGTCATTGCTGGTTCCAGTGGCGGTGAAAATGTCGGCAGTGGACATGCCACTGATTTGCCTGTCGTATTGGTTGGGTCGCTGCTGCAGCATTTTTTCTATTGTCACGGCCTCGGACAAGAACTCTGCGACAGTCTTCGGAGGGCTTCGCACGAGGCCGGCAAAAAGCTGCTCCTTGACACCGCGCATCAATTGACGCAACTTCTTGTCTTCCGCCATTTTTGAATCGGCCCGTCTGAAGAGGCGTGTCATGTCTTCGACGTACGTCGTGACAGTTTCGTTTGACAACTAGACACGGGCCAGAATAGCTCATTCAGCTTGTTCTTGGCGATTAGCGCTGGCATAGGTCTGCAGAAGTCTGCGAGAGAATTTGGGTCACGTCCTCAGCTGCTCCTCTTGATTTTGATACCACGTACGAGCCCAGTCTTTGAGATAGAAATAGACGCGACCCTGTTTCGCCCCGTCATCCCACTGATTCAAGGTGGCTACACGCTTGAAGTCCCCCAACCAGTCCTCAACGTCCTCGCACTCCGTGCCATGGGACGTCCCCGATACCCGTGGGCTTTCCAACGTATAGCAATTCGACGTCGTGCTTCCCGTGCCGGTTGGCGAGGTTTTCACCGAAGCGCTGGTCATAAATGTCGACGTGGTGGGAACAGTATCGTCGACTTCCAGAGGCAATCCCCTGATTCAGCGGCTGGTCTGATGCAGGGGGGTGTTGACTGGCGCTGGACTCTTATCATTGCTCCTTGGAGGGGGGGGAGGGGGGTCTGCAGCATCCGACTAACTACCCAGCACCTCTACCAGCTTGTCACGACGAATCAGAAGTACTGGGGGTTTATTAAACTACCGAGTAGCTAGCTCCAGAACGATGCATCAGTCGTGGCTGGCTCTCGAGCAGAGAAGCAGCACCCGATCTTCTTTTTTCCTCCAGATAGAGAGCCGCTCTTGCAGTCGACCCACTACGTGCGGGTGGCATTATCCCTTGCCATTGACACACTGCGTGCGGGTGGCACTATGACCTTTAGTACCGAAATCGTCGAACTAAGGCGGATCGAGAGCAACGTGCTCGAAGCTTCGGAAGTTCGCCTGTGACCAGCACACGCACAGCCTTCTACAGTGCGTGTGGTTGTCGTTGCCACAACAGCTGTGGACGAAACCGCGGTCGTTCGACACGATCATGTATGGCGACGACGTTACTGACAGAACTCCTAAAGTGTGCGTGTGGCCAACGTTCAACCAGTCAAGGCAACACTGCTTTCCGCACTCTGTGGAGAAAACCGCGGCAGTTGCAACCATAGATAACATAAAACGACTTAGTTTTGAAGGCATGTGGATTGAAAACGAAACTACCGTTTGCCGCAAACTGCAGTGCACAAAACCACAGTCGCGGCAATGCAATAGCGATCTACCAGCCCCGAGGGCACATGGCTGACACAACGGTAGGATGAAAAGCGGTAAAGACGTAAAAAAGGCTACAAGCATTTTGCCGTCTCTGTTCAAAGAATCTAGTAGCGAGCAAAGCCAAAGCCTTGACCCACGCTTTCGCGGCAGCCAGCTGCGCCGTCCTGTCCGTTGATGTGTGTCCCAGGAAGACATATGCGAGTTGTTATGATGGAAATATATTTTGCTAGTTGTTTTGACGTGAAATTTTGGCCGGGAGCATTTGCGCTCCTCTTTTAGACTCGCCTTATAGTGGAAAACCCTACCCTCGTGTGTTGGGCCACTCCAAGCCATGAGATCGCAGCGCCGTTGTTTGCGTTTGGACCCCCCCTCCTATTGTTTTTTGCAATGTTTTCCTTTTTTGGTGCCAAAAGAATATTTTAGCGCGCCGATTTGACTCATGACGGCAAAACGTGATTATGCTTGTCGCTAAAGGCAAATCTATCACAGCTACAAATTTTTTAAAATGCCTGTAACCACTGCTCCCCCCCGCCTCCAGGCTCGGGGGGGTTTTACGAATTTTCTCTGTTGCTGTTGCCAGGTGTGCTGTTGGAAAATCTCGCCAAATGCTCCAAGTATAGTAAATTTTAAAACACCGTATTTTACAGGTTTTCACCTACATTCTACTGAAAGTCAAATCTTGCTACTGGTCAAAGTTGCTTCCACTTCCTTTAACCCAAAAATAATGACATTTGCACAAGCCGTTGCGCAAAGTTTTAATTTAAAAAAAAGATAATGCGCAGGTTGTGTCATCACAAATATGTTCATTTTTCTTCGTAATATGCGATATATGCTATTCCAATTAGATTCCAACTTACTTGACCAAACTCGCTAAACTCAAAATTTACTAGTATTTGCACAAGCCTACTCAAAATCTACAAATGCTTTTTTATGTACATAAATGCAAGCAGTCTAGCATCTTCAATCTCTAGCATCGCCTTCTTTGCATGAAATGAACTATCACATATCAGCCACACTGATAGAAGTGTCAAACCACACAACCACAAAAGGAAGAAAAATTCTTTACTGAGACAATTTATGTACATCACTTAATGCTATGTACAACAATAAATGAAGGCATTAAAAAACTGCACCCCATTACCCTTCCTGGGAGGCTTGAGCCAATAAGACTCGTGGGGCAACACACCGCTCATAGCAGCACACACTTTGAAAAGCGTGCCAGCAAACTTGGAGAGACCCAGTGATGCAAGCCAGATTTCTCCTGTACACACAATAGTGTACAGCACATCGGAACGGGAAAAAAAAGTAAATGTACACTGTTGTGATGACCAACTGTCCAAATAAGAAGGCATTGACCCTTAGTCAATCACATGCACACACTTTCTCGGCGCTGGCAATGCAAAGCTCATATGGCGATGCTTCTTTGGTGCCTAGGCTTTCACCCAAACCCATTTATTCTCTTTACTAACAACTGTATCTATAACTTTCTACTAGGCAATGTGGACATTTGCATCATAGAACTTTACACATGAATGTTGCAGCTTACGATCATCTCACCATGGAAAAAAAAAAAAAAAACTTGCATCCCACTTTTTATTGAAACAGCATGTAATAACTGCCACACGAAAACTGAATAAATAGCTGTTATTAGCTAATATAAAGGTGAGGCACCTTGCTTGCTATTGGAACACAGCACAAATAGAAAGGGGCACAATTATCCATGCACGCAGACTCGCACGCAGACAAACAAAATTACTAATCCAGTTATCCAAGACCTGTACAAATTACTGTCCCACATGATAGCCTTACATTACGACCCATTGTATAAGTGAGCAGAAATTGATCTGGACATCAAATGGAGCATTCACATCATGGCAGGAGACTTGCGAGACACATTCAATCCTGAACAAAAAGCATGTGCGATTCGCTTTCAAGAAGCCTATTCAATTAAAAAAAAAAAAATAGAAACACCCTAGCGCACGCCCAGAGAAAACTTGAAGCAAATGCGCCTGAATACCTTCATAAAACTAAAGTATTGAAAACCAAGATCTGTTGAAGGCATCTCCTCCTAATGTGGAATGAAATGCAAAGAAAAGAAAAGGAGGGCTTCTTTTTCTGTTTTTTGTTTTTCTTCTAGGCAGCAGTGACCAAAGATGAGAGAATGAGGGCTGCCGAAACCGGTCTTTCTTCCAGGCTGCACTTAATGCCAGCAGTTTTGCTGCGACTCGGTCTGTTTCCCAGGCTCCAATAAATAAGCGCCCATCAGCAGCCACATGCACCAGTGCCAACTTTCTGCAATCTCCGACACCGCCAACTTCACGCCACGTAGGTGTACACCTTCCTGCAAGTGTAATTAAAAAGTCGTGAGCTATATGCATCTGAAATTTTTAAAACAAAGCTGTCAAGCTACATTTACAGCTTGCGATACACATAGTATCATCTGTGTGAGAATCAACTACACATTTCATTCTGTAAACCACTTGAGTTACATTTCACGGCAGCATTCGTATCTGAATCCTCAAAAGTGGCACGCAATTGCTCCTATTCAATGCGAAAATTTTTTTCTCTCACCCTCTTGCAATGACAGTAGTAATGATTCTAAGCCTATGAAACCTTGAAACTTTATTCATTCCAACATTCTACCATTTGGAATGCTGAGGGCCGGGGTCAAAAAGCCTCTTCATGGGCGTGACTAGGACCACAACCCCATACATAATGCCACAGGGCAATACAATAATGTATCGAGTGAAAACAACATATCAAGTTCAAATGTCATCACATATAAACAGAAAAAAAAAATAACTCAGTGAATTAAAAAAAAAGGAAAAATGCACAACACTGCCACTGCCACTCCCATAACTTGAGTGAAATAGTTTGGTACAGTCACCGACCGATTTTTAGGACTCCAAAAATTCAGACTTGCTGGATATTTTGAACTTCGAAAGTGCACCGTCAGAGTTCCTATAGGGTTAACGCATTTTTTAGACCGATTTTTCGGACGAATTCGCCCACGAAAGTAGAATTTTTCGGACTAAATCACTTGTTTTGAGCTGCGCCACGAACATGTATGGATGCCGCCATGTTGGATTTCCCGCCAGCTTGACAAAGCTTAGTGACTTAATTTTAGAATGGCTTTCCTGCCCCCAAGATTGGAAGGCAAACGTCGTATTTCAAGTTTCGGAGGCCGTGTTTGCTTTAGAAAACGCGGCACGAGGACCATTTTTTCATCTTCGGTCAGCCATAGTGGTCAGCACTGTCGTCATCGCACCGCACAGGGAGGAGGCGGAGCTGCGCAGTGGTCAAGTGAATGTGCCTGTCACAATGACATTAGGGAGCTTTAGAACAGTGCACCGCAAGGTCGCTGCCACTGCGCATGCGTCGTAACGCGAGTCACCGTTCGCGGCCCGCCCGCAGAAGATCCGAAGTAGCGTGCGACAATCGCGGCCCATGAGGCCCGCAAAGTGTTGTCTGTAGCTTCCATGCATTTGAGTTTGCGGTCGGGGCAAAAGTCCCTAAACTTTTCCCTAAGGGGAGCAAACGCCATTCTAAATCTCATAATGCGTGCGCTATACTCGCAACGCCCACAGCGTCTGCAAACGTTATTCTAAAACTCCCTATTTAAAGACTTTGCTCGTGGGGACGATGACAATTTCGTGCGCGGAGCCCACAGACAAAGAAATTCTTCGCCAGGTTGTGCCGCATCCGGAGAGCGGTTTCGACGATGACGACGATGATCACCTGCAGTTGTCAGCAGCGGAGATCGCCACCGCGGTGACACTTTTGTCGAGCATATATGGTGACGATGTCACCTTGGCGCAAATGTGGGCGAACCAAATTGCTTCCAAGAGTAGTATGAGGCAAGGCAGAATCATGGACTTTTTTAAGCCTGCCTGATGCAATAAAGATCATAATTCTGACAAAAACGAATTTTTCGGACTGTTCGGCTTTTCAGACTTTTTTTTTTCGTCCCAGCCAGGTCCGGAAAATCGGTCGGCGACTGTGTAACATAAATCAGACAAAACTATGTCCGCTGAATTAGAACTCTAACCAATGCCGTAAAGTAATACATAAATGCATACATATGCACATATGTATGCATTTAAATCCACTTCCTAAATCCACTTTACCGTCTTCATTTACCTCTGATGGCGAAACATTATGTGACGCAGCTGATATATCAAATGCCTTCAATGACTATTTTAGTTCCAATTCTTCTGTTGACAATAATATTGTTCCTCCCTTCTGAAATCGTCTCTCTAATATCTCCATTGGGAATATTACAATTACCGCAGAGGGCATTCTGAACCTTATATTGAATCTAGACGTAAAAAAATGCAGTGGTCCTGATTGCATTCCCAATGCATTTCTACTCCGGTATTCCCAATGGTGTGCTCGGTACCTTGAAATTATTTTTAACACATCTATCCGCACCGGTACCGTTCCCTCGTCCTGGAAAATAGGTAAGGTTCTTCCTCTTTTCAAATCCGGCGATAAGCACTCCTTTTCCAATTATAGACCAATTTCATTAACTTCATACTCTTGTAAAATGCTTGAACACGTAATCTTTAAACATATCATGAACTTCCTCGAGTCTAATAACCTTCTGTCCAATTTTCAACATGGGTTTCGACGCGGGTTCAGCACGGTGACGCAACTTATTGCCTTTTCACATGACATTTCCATGAACCTTGACGCAGGATATCAGATTGATGCCATCTTTATCGATTTTTCTAAAGCCTTTGACACTGTTATTCATTCAAAACTCTTGCACAAATTAAATGAGATCCTCAATAACCCACAATTAGTTCACTGGATTTCTTGCTTTCTTTCGAACCGTTCTCAATTTGTGTGCTTTGATTCCGTTGCTTCTTCCCCGGCCAAAATCACTTCTGGTGTTCTGCAGGGCTCAATCCTCGGGCCTTTGTTATTTTTGCATTATGTTAATGACTTGCCTGATATTGTTCATTGTAAGATTCGTTTGTACGCTGATGATTGTGTTTTTTATCATGTAATCCACTCGCCCAATGATCACATCCTTCTCAACGATTCATTTGCATCTTTCTGCAACTGGTGCCGTTCCTGGCAAATGAACATTAACTACAAAAAAACTGTGTTCATGTCCTTTACTAATAAATTAGTTCTTTCAGATTTCAACTACTCATTTAATGGACTGTCTTTGTTGAGAGTTTACCAATATAAATACCTTGGCGTGCTTTTCACTCCTAACCTGTCCTGGTCTCACCATATTGATTACATTACTTCTAAAGCGCTAAAAAAAACTTTGTTACCTCCGGCGTACACTATCTGCGTACAAGACCCTTATCCGCCCCGTGCTCGAATACGCGTCACCTGTATGGAACCCCTACAACCAGTGCGAAGTAAAACAAATAGAATCGGTACAGAAAAAGGCCATTAGATTCATCTTCAGGCGTTATGACTCTGCTTTTTCACCTACGACAGCATTACCATATTTGAACCTGTCTCTACTTTCATCGCGAAGGAACATTGAGTCTCTCAAGTTATTACATTCTATAATTTATTCGACGTGCAAACTTTCAAAAGATCTCTACTTAACATGTTCCAGACCTTCTTCAACACCCCGATACCATCCTTTGAATATGACACCATTCTACGCCCGTACTAACACGTTTAAATTTAGCTTCTTTCCACGAACTGTTGAACTTTGGAATAACTTATCCAGTGACATACGTTCTTTGCCCTTAAAATGAATTCTTGTTATCCATAAATACCCTTTACAGTTTTTTCTTTTTCTGTTTCACTGTTTACTGTGTTTACTATGTTCTCTTCCTTGCCACCATGTCTTCATTATGCCACCATGTGATGCCATGTATTGCCACTTTGTATTTTGCTTTCCTTCGCAAAGTATTACACCATGTTTGTTTTGTACCGGCCTGTTACCCACTCCTGCCATAGCCCTTACGGGTTGCAGTATGTAAAAATAAATAAATAAATAAATATTTACAGATAATACAAAAGTGAAACAGAGTAAAAAATAAACTAGTAAAACAGTGTACCAACTTTAATTTTGATAATCACATAAAAGATCAATGAGACCATACAAACAAAAAAAAACAATGCATGCAAGACAAAAAAGTATCTTAGCAATATTTTCAAATTGTTAGTTGATTCAGATGAAACGGCAAAACAAAGGACAGCATCTCCTTTCCGTAATTTGTGTGGGTGCATGGAAGAAACCACGTATGAACATCACACGAGTGTTGTAAAAAAAGGGTCCGCTGGTTTACTCGAGCAAGTGCACCCAAAAAGCTATCACTTTTTAGTCCTGTGTAATAGCATTTCATAAAACTTCTGTAATAGTAATCTGGTAGGGCTATTAGGATTAATTTCATCAAAAAGCGGTGAAGTGTGACTACCATGCGGAAAATATGAATGGAACGAACTGCACTTTTCTGTATTACATGTAATTTGTGGATGTTCGTTAAAGTTGTTGTGCTCCAAACCTGATGACAATAGTTTATGTGCACTAAATACGATACGTGGGCCGAAAGTTTACCTTTCTAGGAAGCAGAAAATGCACCCTAGACAGATTCCGGTTATCCTGAATACATTCGAAGCCGGCTTTTCTATGTGGAAATTCAATGACATATGTTCATCAAAAATTAAACCCAGACATTTAACACATGGTACTATCTGAAGTTCTGAGGAGCCGAGCATTAACGGGGCATGCAAAGGCGAAAGTTTATTTCTAGGCCTAAAGTAAACAGCTTTTGTTTTCGAAAAGTTTAATTTTTAAAGAATTGTTACATGACTAGGAGGCTAGCTTTAATAATACCTTGTTTCGCATCATTGTTAACATCTTTATAATGTTGAGCCGTGAGAAGTAAGGTTGTGTCATCTGCATATAAAACACAGTTTAGAGACGCATAAGTGTTTGCAGTATCATTAATATATATGTAGAAAAAAAGGGGTTCCAGGATACTGCCTTGGGGCACACCTGCTGACAGTCAACTGCCATTAAAAACATAAATAAGGTAACAGCTTCATATCACAATGCAACCTTCTATATTTTGACATTTGTAAACTGACACTTAAAAACCAACTAAATACAGTTACTAATTGTGAGCTGCCATTCTCAATTCAAAATTTTCAAAAAAAAAAAAATTCATCCTCTATACCGCATAGTCATCAGGATAAACAGACAGACAGTGGTATCACCTTTGAACTTCGAAGACCACATCAGCATTGTAATCATAATCACCAGACCAAATGAGATCAGCATTGTCATCATAATCACCAGATCAATTGATTGCCAAAATAATAAAACTTCTAATCCATACAAACATACTGCGACATGCATAATGCCAGCATCTTGAACCAGCGCCTATGCACCCGAGCAGAGAGAGATCTTCATCTTCTTTGTCAGGCGCTGGCAACATGCATGTAGCAATATCCCCTCCAGGCATGAAATATGATGAACTGTCAGTAAATGTCTAAATATTGCACAACAACATTCTAAGATGCTCGATATTACATTCCAAAAAAAAAAAGAAAATTGAGAAATGGGTTGTTTTGGTGAGCTTCGCAAATTATTTGTAATTTGCATATATATTAATATTCAACTAATCTGCAGTCAGTCATATTCGATTTTTTCAACATAACAACAGAAATCTTAGACCCAAAATGCATGGGCAGTTCATTTTTGGCCATGTTCATTTTGACCACATAAAATACTTATAAGGTTCGTCCCGGAATGCGGCACGTTGAGGCACCCGTCAAACATCACAGTGCTTTCACTAAAATAATCCGTGGCAGATTTACGCAGCACATTGGAGTTCAATCAATATGCGTTGACTATGTAGAAGGTTCAAGTATCTTACGTGCGATGTATTTTGCCCTTGCTTTCTCACAAGTCTGAGTTCAATTATCTTACACGCAATGTATTTTGCCCTTGCTTTCTCACGGGTCCGACAAACTGGCAAAAGAAAGTTGCGTCCACACATCTGGATGCTGCGCCCAAAGGGGATATGGGTACATTAGGGCCTTTTGGTTAAAATCAATTGAACCAAAATATCAACTGAGCTGCAGCCAAATTAACCACAGTTCAGCCAATTAACCACAGTACCGCATCACTCAAAGAAACTGGAGCTTACAGTTGGGTCATTCCACGCCAAACGTCCCAGATATTTGGCGACCATCTCAAATGTATTTGAAAAAGATTGTGCTTATTTGCTGCATTGGAAACAGTGAAACAGTAGAATATTTCCGAGACAAAAAATTTTTTGATCACATGGCTGCTTTCTGAACTTCCCGGAATGTTGTTTGGGTGTTGTGCGTGGAAAAACTTTTTTTAAAAGTACCGCTTCTTCTTCCTATACTAAATTTGGTCTACTTATTGAGTAAAGGTTTTTGTGTAAGGTGTTCGAAGCTCAGTAATATTACTGCAATCTTACTGGCACATACGCCTCTTAAAATTTAGCCAAAATGCATTATGTTTGCATTTTTTCTATTGAAATTCTGCACTTTGTATGAATATCTGAGTAATAAATACTTCACAGAAGATATATTTTGAGAAAAAAATATTTTTATACCTCTCAACCTGCTAAACTCTACGAGAAAAAATCATAAATTTTTCAAAATTGTCATTTTTGTCCATATTGAGATTCAATCTACACCATGTGGTGGTATAATTAAAAAACACCTTTATACTTGAATAGAAAGTAAATAAACAGTTCTTTTCATATAGGAAATCTTATTACATTTTTTGTTTTAATGAAAAAATTTTTTTAAACTTTCCCTTGACGGCAACGGGAAATTTTAAGGCGGCAGCTGTTGTACAACCAAATGGGAAATAGGCGCCAATGGGAAAGTTAAAAAATTTTTTCTTTGTTAAAACAAAAAATATAATAAGATTTGCCATATGAAAAGAACTGTTATTTGCTTTCAATTTAAGTATAAAGCAGATATTTAATTGGGCCACAATATGGCGCAAATCGCATCTCAATATGGACAAAACTGGCGATTTTGAGAAATTTGTGATTTTTTTCTTGTAATGTTTAGCAGATTGAGAGGTCTAAAAATATATTTTTTTTCAAGATATACCTTCTGTGAAGTAACTATATACGTACTACTCAGATATTATACGAAGTGCAGAATTTCAATACAAAAAAATTCAAACATAACGCATTTTGACTGAATTCTAGGAGGCCAGTAATGGTTGCAAAATTGCAGTAATATTACTGAGCTTCAAACACCTTACACAAGAACTTTTACTCAACAAGTAGGACGAAATTCGGTACAGAAAGAAGAAGGCGATACTTGTGAAATAATTTTTTTTTACAAACAACACCTTAACGACATTCCGGGAAGTTCAGAAGGCAGCCACGTGACCAAAAAAAAAATTTTTTTGTTCAGAAATATTCTACTTGTTTCACTGTTTTCAATGTAGCATATCAGCACAATTTTTTTTCGAATACATTTGAGAAGTTCACCAAAATGGCTGGGACGTTCTGCATGGAATGACCCAGTTGCCATGCTATAGCCTACACCATTTCGTCTTGACGCTCCAACCACCGACTTGTAAGCTAAATATGGCAAGCCATTCTTTCGACCCTGATGCTTATCTTTGCTGGTCAAGAAAGTGTGTGATGCATCAATGTCCCCCACCACCACAAAATGCATGCTTAACAGGCAAGTATGGCTATACCTGTCCTCCGCAGTCCTGGCTAGGTACTCCCTCTCTATAAGGCCTTCGATTCTCTTCTTGATGACTACAGGACTGGGATAAAACCTGGACCGCAGCTGGCTGGTCACCTGATGGGGTGAAAGGGTTGGAACATACACATTACCGCATCTATGGGTGCTGTCAATGCTCAAGAGCATTTTATGCACATTTGCATGACCATGTTGGTAATACACAGAGGCTAGAAAATCACATCGAAGATCCCAATAAATGAAAGATACCCACTTTTATTTTTCACTGCAAGATAACACCTGTGTGTCATCCCCAATTATGCCAGTCTCGTATAATTTAATTTGATTTTGTGCTTGCAAAGCAGAGCAAGAAAGAGGTACGCCTCAATAGTGTGCTTCCATGGATGAGCAAAAATAATTTTCACATGCACGTACGTAATACAACAATATTTCTGAAACGAACAGCAAAGTTCAGGATTTCTTTGGTGTTTGGTGTGTATGTATGTATGTATATATATATATATATATATATCAGCCGTCATGCAAACACTGCGGAATCAGGGCATAGATGAAGTATATATAAACATTCTGGAAGAAATCTACAGGGGATCAACTGCTACCATAGTGCTTCATAAAGAAAGCAACAGAATACCAATCAAGAAGGGTGTAAGGCAGGGGGACACAATTTCCCCAATGCTATTTCCGCGTGCTTACAGGAGGTTTTCAGAAGCCTAGAATGGGAACAGTTAGGGATAAGAGTTATATAGAGTAACCTGCGCTTCGCCAATGACATTGCATTGCTAACTAACTCAGGGGACAAATTTCAACTCATGATTACGGAGTTAAACACAAGGAGAGCAGAAAGGTGGGTCTTAAAATTAATCTGCAGAAAACGAAAGTAATATACAACAACTTCGGAAGAGAGCAGCGCTTCGAGATAGGTGATAGTGCACTTCAAGTTGTAAAAGACTATGTCTACTTAGGGCAGGTGATAACTGCGGAGCGAAACCACGAGACTGAAGTAACTAGAAGAATAAGAATGGCGTGGAGCACATTTGGCAAGCACTCTCGAATTATGACAGGTAGATTGCCACTATCCCTCAAGAGGAACGTATATAACAGCTGTATCTTGCCGGTACTTAGCTACGGAGCGGAAACCTGGAGACTTACAAAGAGGGTTCAGCTTAAATTGAGGACGACGCAGCGAGCAATGGAAAGAAAAATGGTAGGTGTAACCTTAAGAGACAAGAAGAGAGCAGAATGGATTAGGGAACAAACGGGGGTTAAGGATATCATAGCTGAAATCAAGAAGAAGAAATGGACATGGGCAGGGCATGTAGCGCGTAGACAGGATAACCGCTGGTCATTAAGGGTAACTGACTGGATTCCCAGAGAAGGGAAGCGGGTTAGGGGGAGACAGAAGATTAGGTGGGCAGATGAGATTAAGAAGTTTGCGGGTATAAATTGGCAGCAGCAAGCACAGGACCGGGTTAACTGGCGGAACATGGGAGAAGCCTTTGTCCTGCAGTGGACGTAGTCAGGCTGATGATGATGATGATATATATATATATATATATGCATGCAACACCCGTTACCTGTGAGTGCCCAATATGCAAATATTCTTTAGTTAGTTTGTTTTGGTACTCCAAGTAGTAAGTAACCATCACAATGAAGGCCACAAATTTTACTGCAGACTATAAATCAACACGACAATTTCCCCAGCTGGGAGGGGTACTAACGTCACTTTTATCTAAAAGCTCTCTCTAAGAACAGTTGGTCAGAACAAAAACAAATATCAAACAATATGCACTGAATACCGTACTTACTCGCGTAATCCTCGCACAATTCTCGCACCCCCCACATTGCCCAACAAAAATACGATTTCTTTTTTCCTCGAGTAATTATCGCACCCCCGAAAACTGCTGCAATAATGTCGTCTGCTCTTTCCAGCCATTGATGATGATACCACACGTCCTCTGGCGCCACCTCTTAAGCATCAAGCATACTATTGCACAGAGATTCAATCTAACTCATGCCAAGCCGAAGTGGCCAGTGTGCGTTGCGGCGTGTTTTGTATGTTGCGTCTGTAACCTTGTCAAGTTATGAGGCGATAATGAAGCTGTACGGCTGCTTTCAAGTTGCAAGTGATAGATAATGCACTAAAGAACGGCAACAGGGCCGCCGGTAGGCCCTTCGGAGTCTACGAGTTTCGTGTTCGCTACTGGTGATGGCTGCTGAAAGCCACCAAGACGCGTTGGGCCTGCCATGTGCCTAAAACTGGGATTGATGGTAAACTTTATTCCTTAAGAAGGAAACTGCGAACAATTCTGTTAAATAGCCATCAGCCCAATACTGACGTCCCACGCTTACCTTTTGAGGGCTCCTACTGAGCGACGAACGCTACCGCTACGCCCGCAACGTCCGCAAGCTTTGCGTATGGTATTCTAATTCTCGACTATTTGCTTCCACTTTTTGTGTCACAATTAAATCCTGTCTTGCGTTGAACCTCTGCTTTTATTGTTGAGGTAAGTTTTAATTAGTACTTCTTAAAGCTTGCTGTTAGTTGATGGTGTGAGAATCCCGATTTGCGGCCACTTCGTTTTCTTTTTCGCTCTGTACGTTTTCGTAGAACGTTTCCCCGCGTAATTCTTGCACCCCCCAACTTTTCATCGGTTTTCCTGGCAAAAAAAGTGCGAGGATTATGCAAGTAAATACAGTACTCCAAACCTGTGCATCTGCAACATAACTCATTGTGAAAGTGTGATAATCACTAAACTATATCGGCAATTGACATGCTTCGTATCACCTCATATCTCTCACCACATCGGAAATATATTTTGAAAAATAGGCACAAATAAGAAGACACAAACAGCACAGCTTACCTCGGTGACAAGGACATTATGTGAAAGCTTCTTCCGTGCTTTCATTATCCTCACAATGGCAGCCTCAATCGTAATGTTGAAGTTAAGAAAAATTGACACAATCACAAATTCACCGACGCCTACCAAACAGGCATCATTGGTGAAACTAATTCTTTCACAAAACACATCTATGACAGCCCACATTCCTACAAGAAGCTCATATGTTCTCATGACAAAGCACAAATGCAAAGATAGCGAGGTTGACAAGACAAACAAGGACCTATTTATCAACTATCCGTCTCTTTCATGTATGCTGCAATCATAACACAAATACTATGGACACTAAAACACCTAATCAGTTCTATTGTGGTACACATTTATGGCATAATAATGCCCTAACCTGTGAGACTTGCTCATTCTGATTCAGGCAGGAAATTGAGACAAGACTCAGCCATCATGTTATAGCCACGAAGTCAGCTAGCTGCTTTACCCATACTTATTTAAGAAATGTTTAATGAAGTCAGTCCTCAAAGGAAAGATCATATGAACAGACAAAATGCAGTAAGCAGACATACATCTCAGGTGATAAAGTGAGCCTCAAATGCTAATCTAGGGTCATAAAGTAATATGAAAGTTAACATAATCTACATCTTACCATCACTTACAAATACAAGATCAAAAGTAGGTGCTAATTGAGACATGTGGGGGTGCTGTCTGCCCTAGTGAAGTCGTCTGCACCTTGTGGTGCACATGTGACTCGCTGATATCACATTTATGATTAATAGCCGTCGAGCGGGAGGTGGCTTAGCGCTTGCTTGTAATATTCACCATCATCATCATTATGGCTAACGCGATAGCGCCAGCAGTGATGCCTAGCGGCAAGGTTATGTGGGCGGGCAGAAAAGATTGGGGAGTCTTTTTGGTGCGTGACGGCTGGCACGAACGGATGTCTCCCACGGTGAGTCCATGGGGACGGTATCGCGGGTCGTCTGCCATGAGCCCTCGTGGCGAGTCAAGCGTTAGAGATACTGCTGTTTGCGTTACCTTGTTTGTTGTTATTTCGATGTTTGTTGTTATTTCGTTACCTTGTTTGTTGTTATTTTTGGATTGTATAAGGTGGTTGTTTTGGCGTGTCACTAGTGATGTATCTGATTTGACTGACGATATCATCGCTGTAAAAGTAGTTCAATAAATGTGTTGCTTGGTTTGATCCGACCATGTCTACTGTCTCCGCTCTGAGAGGGTGGTGCCTCATTCAGAGATACCACAGACGTAAAGTTCCGTTTGTTACTGAAAGAAATGCACACCACAAATTCAGAGTGCAGTAGACTTGTAAAAATTATAGTGCTAGGCAAAGGATATTCATGCTTTCGGTCTTCATCCACCTTGCTTCTTGTCTCATTCCTCTCAGGCTCACTCTCACCCTTTGCTGCAACTAGAGAGAGACAACAGACAACAGTGCAGTTATTTAGGCATTCTTCCCTACCCATTCATGTAGCTGACAACTACTCCTCCTCTCATTACATAGGCGCAATGTGCCAACCTTTTATTGTTTTAGTAGTTTCTCATGCCTACTGCAGGGTTTCAGGTCTTCTAATTTATTTTTAAAAAATCATAAGTACACTACTTTGTGCATGCACTGTATGGGTACACAAGACTAAAACAAAGGGTAGATGAAAGAATGCACTGTATTGAGTGCAAAGTATACGCTGCCACCATGGGCAGCGCCAGGGGCAGGGGTGGGACCGGGAGGGCTAGAGCCATCCACCCCCCAAATTTTCGCCTGCTTCTCTGTTGCCCCTCAAAAGAGAACATAGTCATAACATGTCTATCACCTCACTGCCCCCCCCCCCCCCTCAGAAAAACTCACTTATCGGTAAAATAATCCTGGGGCCACCCATGACTGCCACTTACAGGAGCAAAAATGTAGATTAAAGGGACACTAAAGGCACATAAGTATATACGGATGGCTGAAAAAACAATCGAGAAACCTTGTAGTGCTACTTTTGTTCCAAGGAAATGCTTATTTTGAAATAAAATCACGTCTTAGTGGCCCGCATAGCATTAGCGCACTTCAAGTCACCCGCCTGGAAACAGGCATCTCCGACGTAGCAGCTGCCTGCCCAACGTGGGCCACTTTCACTGTGCAGCTACCAACATATGCAGAGGGTAGTAGGAGTGCAGGGTTACTAGATAATGGTGTCAACATTTTGTGATGCTTTGTGCAACTACAGTCACAGACATGTTTGTATTTGCCTAGTGTTTTTGAGGATAAATTTTAAAAGGCAACCTATTTTGTTATTAAGGCGCTGCGCAACGCATTCACACCAGAAGTAGAATACACGCTTTTTTCTCCAACAAAAAATCTGTACTTGCCTGGTTAAAGTGGGCCCCGCTTAGATGGCAACAACTATCCTGCCTAACTGAGACGAAAACTGAACTTTTGAACTAATAGTGCCATTACTCATGGCAATGCCAAGCTGGTTATTTTCATAAATTAAACATAAGCGAAGAGGCAGCATTTTATTACGTGTTGTAATGCATGGAAGGTTCTTTTTTTTATTGCAACTGGCTTGGTTACTAGTGGTTAATTGTAGTCTGACCCTTTCACGTCATTGGTATCATTTCAAAATGTCCACACGTGGCACATATAGTGTCTTACATCTATCCTTAATTTCTCGATAAGTAGAGCACTACAGTCGATACTAATAATGTTTTAGACATTCTCAAACATTAACCTTTCACTTTGACCTAAATTTTTATTTGCCTTTAGTGCCCCTTCCAGTGCAAGGTTTCTCTGGCAGATCAACAATAGCATTCCTATATCTAGATAAAGCATGGAAAACAAACATCTTTGTTGCATGTTGCAAATTGATTTCATGGAGAATCTTTTTTCCTGGAGGACTCACCTACAACAATGAAGCGGAGAAACAAAAACCAGAAAAATTGAAAAGCAAGTATGGAATAAAAATTACTCCAATAAATACCATAGGGTGTCTATTACAAGAAAAATTGATGGAACAATGCATAGAGCATTGAGCATTACTACAGCAACTTTTGAACAATTTTTGTAGGTAATTTTTTCTGGCACAGCAGAATTTTCGTATCTTATTCTATCAATACGCCATACAGTTTATAAACCATTTTCTGTTTAGCACCCATTTTTTTTTTCTCAACTGAAGAACACCTCATCCTAAAGAATTTGTCAACCAGTAAGTAGCTCAGTACCTGCTTGAATCTTGACACGGTACAATTTGGAGGTGAATGAGTCATTGACAGTGAATGTGTGACTTGGCTCTGTAATGAAAAACAAGAAAAACTATGGTTAAAAAGGAGCCCTAGATTACTATTTTATCTGAAACTAAGACCCCTATAACAATGACGGAAGCAACAACTTGACTTCATGTAGATTCAGGAGAAGAAAAAATGGTGCACTGGAGTGACCATAAGGGCGTTTGAAGCAGAAAAAAAAAAAGCTGATTTGAAGCAGCTATTCGTGTCTTTGAAGCAGATGGCAAAATATACAAACAAGTCCCGGAGTTTAAAGCATCATTTAGAATAAAAATAATAGCTGTGGTTTTACGTGCCCAAACCATGATATGATTGTGAAGTACGCTGTAGTGGCAGTGCTCCGGAAATTTAGACTATATGGTGTTTTTTTTAATGCACACCTAAATCTAAGTACACGGACCTCAAGCATTTCGTCTCCATTGAAATGCAGCCCCTATGGCCGAGATTCGATCCCGCAACCTTAAAGTCAGCGGTCGAGCAGCACAAGCACTAGGCCACTGGGGCAGGTAATCCTATGTTCTGGAACAGTAGCGTGTGGCCTTCAGAATTAACTCCCGGAGCTAATCACGGAGGCCATGAGCAACATGGAAGTTGGCTGTGGGGCAAGCAGCCCCTGTAGACAAGTTTGAGAGGTACCACGAGCGACGGACCCACGAGGCAGTTAAAGAGATCTCTTGAGACTAGCAGCTTTTTTTATATACAAAAAAAAAGTTGAGAGCGATAAGAAGGAAGATGGTTAACCGCAGTTGCACTCGCTCCTATGAAAGCAGGACATTGAACACTATGAACAGTTTGCAAGGAGGGCTATCACAATCGCTAGTAAGGGTGCACTCTTACATTATTTTTTTTTGGCTTGTCAGATAAAAAAACTGGATATGCTTTTTATATCAACCGATATAGAAAATATCGATATGCTTTTCAAATCAACCGCTGTAGGTTTAACCACCACTGATAAGTAGCTTTCCATTGTGCCATAAAAAACTGGTTCAAGAAAAATCAGTTGTTTGTCCCACTTGTCTTGCAACTGCCTTTTCTCCTTGCAAATGAAGAAGCTTAAGCAGCAATTAAAGAGGAACTTGAGTGAATACTAGCGTTCGACCAATTTGCAAGGAGAAATTAAAGGTCGAGTGTTTTTTTTTCTTTCTCTTTAGGTACATCTACAAATCTCCACATAGTCATGAGTGGAGACAGTTGGCCAACTAAGTCAACAAAAGCACACATCTTGACACTGAATAGTATCTGCACATAGTCATGAGTGGAGACAGTTGGCCAACTAAGTCAACAAAAGCACACATCTTGACACTGAATAGTATACAAGATACGAAACACTATGCTCACATTATTGAGCTAAATGTTACTGCCCTCGAATTTCTGAAGTGTAACTAAAATAGCAACAGAGACATTGTCAGCAAAAGAAATTAAAAACTCAACAAGAGAGAGTTCTAGCCCCATTTCTCTTTGCCGTAATCACCAACAAAAAGTCACAGTCCCCCATTGCAACACAGTAACATATGCCCAATCATATCTCCCAAGAGCTTGTAATGAATGGAATTCCCTGCCTGCATCAATAACAAGCATCAATGAACCGATTCAATTTAAGAATGTCCTTAAAACAATGATTACCTAATTACCCCCTGTATGTTTGTTGAACAGTTTATTTGTATTGCTTTGTGCCTTCACCATGTAATAAAAATAAAATTAGTGTTATCATTTGCTTTATTATGATGCGAGTTGTTAGGAGTAATAATCTTTGTACCCCAATTAGTGACATTCTTAAGCCATTTGCTTTGTATTCCTTGTTTTTTTTTTTCATTGTTGTGCATGCCCTTCCCCTCTGAAATGTACTGTGTACCCTGAGGGTAAAATAAATAAATAAATAAATAATTTAAGAGAATACTCACCAATTTCCTTGGTCTTGGGGCTTTTGATGAGAATGCGCTGTGAAGGCTTTCCCATCGCCAACGACTGAAGTGCACGCACCAGATCCTTTTCGGGGATGTCTGTCTCAGAAGCAATTTCCTCATAGAGCAGCCGGTCACGGCTGTTGAAGAGCATCAGAACACACATCTGATACGTAGACACTTGGATGACATGCTTGCGTGGTGCGCCCGCAGGCAAGTTCCCCACCGAAGATGACGATGCTTCATTCTCCTCCTTGCGCGGCCCATAGAACACTGCATTTAGATCCGCCCAGCCTAGCTGTGGCTGCAGAGTCAGCTGTCGACCACTGTGCTTGGCCAGGTAGAACCTGAAATGTGATCATTCTCTCTCAGCACCTGACCTCTTTCATGCTCATTTCACCCTTCTGGCACTTTCACATACTGCCACACTCCACAATGAAGTTTGGTTCGCAATCAGCAGCACTTTGGCCCTGCCTCCAGTTGGTCTTATCTCAGCACAGTTGCTCTATTTAGGTATACCATGCATCAGCCAAATCAAATGAAATCTTTTTCTTTTGTTTTTACCAAACTTTACGAAAATTATAACACAACTACAGACTATGTTCACTCACTTAAAAAAAAAGCTGACTGAAATGAGTTAACATTCCGAAACCTTCCGGCATACTACCTACACCTTGAGCAAAGATTATACATTCATTGTGGTCAGTGGTTCACTATGGAAAGAGTACCACTTTTAATCATGCCTACTGCACTACCATTTCTTTGTCTTGAAGCTTTTTTGGACTAGTTCATTTTTCTAGCATTTCTAGAAAAAAAAAAACAATTAAGTGATCAATGCAAGCACGCGTACATACAGTTAAACCCCTTTATAAGAGGCATGCTCTGGGCAGCAATTCGTCTGTTATAAGAGATGTGTCTTATAAGCAGGGCACCACGTAGGCATTTCCTTATCAAACTGTTATTTACTGTAGACACACTGGTGTCTCTTATGTTCACTTGCGTCTTATATCAGTCTCTCTTATAGCGTCGATCATAATCATATGGTGGTTTTGGGATGTTAAACGCCACATATCAATCAATCAGTATCTCTTATGAAGGGGTTCAACAGTATCACCATTTAGAATAACTAATAAAACAACTCAAGGAATGCAGTTTGACATAACAGAGCTGCCTAGGCAAAGGTAACTCTCATGACAAAGGCATGTCTCCTTGTAAGAGACATTTACCTTTCAACAACTCTTCATTAAAGAAAAAAAGTTGTACTGAAGTGTGTGTGGCACTTTCGGGAGGTAACTCAGAGATGACACTAAATAAGGTAATTTTGCTACATATTTTTCATTCCATCAATGTCTGTAAATTAATAGAGACCAGATAAAAAAAATCAGTGCCAATAAAATTAACACGGTTTCTCCACCGTTCCCCTTAAGAGAACAGTAGTTTCATACCTGCGAAAAGCCTCGAACGCGTTGCGAGGAGCTGTAGGAATGTTGCTTTTAGGTGTGGAGGCAGGCGTGGGCCAGAACCCCGTAGTGAGCACACGCACATTCAGGTCCACTCCGTACAAGTTCATCTGTCCACGTGAAAGAAGACCCATCAATACTAACCGTGTCAACATTCCATAAATATTCACACAATATAAATAATATGTCAAATGAAGACATATCGACCCGACCCACACAGACACAGAGCAACATTAAATGTTCAGCAGAGTAGCACAAAGCTTTCATGCAGTTAAATTATGCTGTTTGTAATAATGAATGACTTAATCATTGATTACAAAAAACTACTGACACTATAATATTATGTACCGTAAGAACCGGTATAAAGGTCGAATTTTTTTTTCCAAAAGACTATATTAAAAGCCAACCCTCGTCTTATATACCGCTCATTGGCAGAAAAAAATGTGTGAAGTCTCACAAGAATGGGTAGCTGAAGTCAAAAGCCTCCATTGCCATCGTGAGCACGAGCAGCGGTGCCAATTGGCAATGTAGGCTAGGCACCACCTATATGCCTACAGTGTACAGTGTACAGGCCAACAGTGTACTAGGAACGCAATTTTGCTTCAGTTATCTTTGTCAGTCTGCTGTTTTCTTTTTTCTCTTTCCTTCAGAAATCAGTGGTAGTCGACAGCAGTTTGCAATTGACTTTTCCAGAAATTGACGCGCGCCCTCCTACGGCGGCTCCAAAGCATTACGGGAAACTGGAGCGCCGGCGGAGTGTCGTCTGCTCGCGGAAGCGTTGGCTCACCCCGCTTCCCACAGCGTGCGGGCGTACGAATGCATTGTTGCCGGAATGTTGCACGTCATAACACTGCTTCAATCTGCACTCACAGAAGAGGCACCATCCAGAGCAATATACAGTCAGGAAAGACTAGTATCCTTGACTTATTAATGAGTTTGGAAATTGTTCACGTACCCGCGAAAAGGCCCATTGAATTGGAAATTTTTCTCGGCTTTCACGGCGAGTTCCCTGTGCTTCGTTGATAGTATTTCCGCGTAGCGGAAGCTTTTGTCATTTGTTTTATTGTCAGTATGACCGTACAGCTTCATTATTAGACCTGTATGTCGGGTACTGTCACTCGTGATATGCTTCCGCGCGATACGCTGTGCAAGACCATGCACTTCGCGAATGATAATGTCAAAATTCCACCCTTATAAATGAGTTCGAGCCCCACTATGCTGTGTATATTTGAATACTAATTGCCTCTTTCAAATGCTACATGTGAGAAAGTTTGCATTTGGGACCCTGAGAGTAGTAAAAACCAGCTAGCAGCACGTCCATAGAGTGGATATTTTGCATGCAGTATTTGCTTTCAAACTGCGTAAAAAATGCTGTCTCTGCGTAGTTCTTGTTTCCACGACTGTGAGTTGGAAATTAACGAATTTTGGACCTGACTGCACAACACTCGTCGGGGACGTCGAGTCATCGAAAAAAACCATCGCGTGATGACAACATATATAAGTCGGACATCGCCACAAATTGTGACGTCATCAAAACATCACGTGACTTAATGTGACACGTCATCGCATGACATCCGAGCTTGGTGAAATGTGGTCTCATCATGGAGGCAATGCAAAATCAGTTTCGCACTGCCTCCGTTTTTGGAGGCAAAGTAAGCCTCGTTAGGTACAGCAAGTTTTCAAAGGGTGGTGTGAATGGTGGCGGGCTGGGGCATCGGCCTGGGGGTTGCATAAGAGGCACTGGCCCCCTTCAAGCCACACCGGCACCTGCCCATGCCCAAGCTACACCAGTGCTCTCCCCAAGCCGCAACGCAACACGGGATTCGCACGCCCATAAAACCATGCTGACATTTATAGACTAGCGGGGTAGGATCTGTACATCGACTGAGAAGAAAAAGAAGATGGCTTTTTCCATGAAATCATCTTAGGCGAATGAATAGGGGACATTGTTAGTTTATAACGAGGTATCTAAGCCTCTCGCCTTAATGAATTCGCATAGTTAATTACAGGGTAAGCTGCAAGCGTAAAATCCCAGCCCCGTAATCACTATGAGAACACAGATAACAAAGGTCCAACTTAGATGCAGCACCCCAAACATTGAAGCCATGAAGTAGCACCAAGCAATGAACGAATAATATAAGTGTTGGGGCTTAACATCTCAAAACCACCATGCAATTATGAGAGATGCCGTAGTGGTGGGCTCCAAAAATTCAAGCACAGTGGCCTAAAGCATTTTCGCTGCAATCGAAAATATGGCCGCCAAGGCCGGGATTCGACCCCGCGACCTGCGGGCTAGCAGCCGAGTGTCTTAGCCACTAGACTGCCGCACGTGGCGGGTAAGCAATGAATGAAACGTCCAGTGAATTTTACGTATTATCACATCCCAGAACCGAGCAAGTGCGTCTAACCCTCTCCTTATTCGGCATGTTCAGTGATGATTACGTTTATTTGCCATGAACAGCGCAGTCTAGTATGCGTGAATAAAAGTCAGAGCGATCAGAAGCGTTTCTTCACAATAGCAGCTCCTTACACCAGCCAAAACCACCCACAACGTGTGACGAAAGCAGGCGAAAGCGGGAAAGCGTTGTCTGCTCTGACCGCCGGTGCTCCGCTCTTCCATAATGCCCCAGCGCCGATCCCCCAGGGGAAGGCGCAACGCTGCGATTTCTGAAAATTTCGATAGGCTTCAAGAAAAAAAGTTATCAAGTATGCCGAAGCGCACATCAACCTGGCGGCACAGCGAAGCGCACATCAACCTGGCGGCACAACGGGAATTCGGTGCATCAGAGAAAAGCGTCCAATACTGGAGGAGCCAAAAGCAGAGCATCACATCCTGCAGCAACCAAAAAAAAAAAAAAACTTCGTTTCGTAGACGGACTGCAGTACATTCCGAATTAGAAACGCTACTCGCCAAATTCGTCCAGGAGCTGCGTGCAAGGTTGCTACCTGCGACAGCGGAGTGCATACGCATGAAAGCTATCAAGATAGCACGACACTCTGGGCTCCCAAGGATGCAACTCAAGGGCTCGCCATCGTGGGTGCGCCGATATATGAAGCGAAAGGGCTCTGCACTGAGGCGGCGTACTTCCGTGTGCCAAAAAGATTTCGATAACAAGCTGATCAAGTATCAACGCTTCGTCATCAGGCTTCGACAACAGCATTTTACATGATGGCATACATGGGCAACGCTAACGAAACTGCTATCTGGTTCAATATGCCTTCGAACCAGACTGTGACCGCTAAAGGATCCAAGCAAGTGAAGCTGTTAACAATGAGCAACGAGCTTTCGCGATTTACAGTGATGCTCGCGTGCACAGCCCCCTTATATCATTTTCAAGAGAAAAAGGCTTCCAAAAGAAGACTTTTCTCGAGATGTTGTGAGAACGAACGAAAAAGAGTTCATGAATGATTCTCTCATGCTTTAGTGGATCCGGCTCGTGTGGAATCGGCGACCTGGTGTGCTCTTTAAGGGGAGATGCTACCCGAAGACACTTTTTCTTTAATATTCACCCCAGAGGAATGAAACTTGAGCTGTTTATAGAACTTTTTATGCTGATTTCAAATATTTAATTAGTTTTCTTGCAAGTTATACACTTTTAGCTCTGCAACATGACAAAGTGAAAACCTGAACCCTTTTGCCCCCCCTCTTTTCATCTCTAAAATTCTGTAATTTTTACCATTCATAGTTCATAATGATTCAAATAAAGTGCAGAGTGCAAATAACTAATTAGAAAGCACATACAAAATATGTAATGCACGTGAAAAATAATAGTCTCAAAAAGTCCATATTTTCCCTGCCCTAGTAAAGGTATACATATAATTTTTTTCATTATACAATAAAATGTAGAAATTTAAACTAGATAATTGCATTTGTCATACTTTGGAGAAAATTTGGGCGAAATTTCATGCAGATCTGAGCACTAGAAATGCCCAAAAAAGAAGGGGTACATTGGAAGAAATGGCAAAATTTGTGTTTTGAAAAAAAAAAAAAAAACGAGTTTTAATGTTAAAATTGAGTTTTTATTTATGAAAGATATTATTAAATCAGATGAAGTTTGCACACCAAAAACAACAGTCCTTGTCGTACTGGCCACTGCGACTAAAATACGCCAGCATTATGAGTTTGTCCCTCTTAGCGTTTTCGAGCAGACTCCTCACAGACATTTTGCTCACAGACAGGGCCATGAAACGCTTGCCAAACTTCCGCTCCATCTGGCACAAGCCTTGTGCCAACTGCAAGCTAGGAAGAAGTTCGACAGGACTGCGAAATCCAAACTAAGTCCAGCGTCATGCCGTTTTGCAGCCATGTTTGTGCCACATACCGTCGTACATAATGGCAATGTCGTCCCTGCTAAGTACTCTCACTGCGAGCTCTTTCGACCTCTCAAGATTGGTGCTGACGTCATCCATTGCTGCATCACGAACTTTCCGGCTGACGGTGGTGAATGACTTTGATGCATTGGATTTTGCAAGCCCACAACTGCCGCAAATTGAACCAGCTGCTCGTAGCCTATTCCTAGAGAGCGCGCCCACAACGGCTTTCACTTGTGAGCAATGCCTTTTTTTCATTCATAACGGAGTATAATTACGCGAGAAAAGCATTTTCAGCTGCGCTGCTCAACAAGACATGGACCCCGCAAATAGGTTTCACAGCACATACAAGCGCGCAGCGGCCAATGGCGGTCCCTGATTCGTACCATGTGATAAGCCAGTCGCGGCGCTTCAAAAACACACACAAGAGTGATTCTTTTTATTATTTCTTGTGCACTGCATCAGCGAGAGAGACTGTTGTTATTTGAAGAGTGAGGCTCGACTCTTCGACTCATGCGATCAACAATGGATAGCGGCGGCGCATTATCGGCGGCAAGGTGCTCGAAGAATGCACACTTTTGACCTTTTAACAGGCACCTTGTGCTCTTTAGATAAAATTTTAAAGCATTTCCAGTTAAGTCTCGACCTGTAATATTTTTTTCATAACAGTAGAGGTACTAATCTTGTCAAAAGAGGCTGAAAATAAAAAATCGGTAATTTTGAAACAAACTGGTTTTTCGACCCACATCTCCCCTTAAGCGACCGAGATTGTTGGTGCTCAAGTTGTTTCGAGGTCACCTCACAGCGGATGTAAAGGGGGCTCTGACCAATGGCAAGACTGACCTTGTCATGATCACCGGGGGGGGACTACCATCAATCCTCCAGGCACTGGACCTAGTGCTCAACAAAGCCTTCAAAGGTTGCGCGCATGAGCTCTACAATGAGTGGATGCTGGGCGACTATCCCAAAACTTCCGTTGGCCGCCTACAACGTCTACCTACTTGCGACCGTTTGTGACTGGGTGTCATCAACTTGGAAGTTTCTCCCCGAAGGGTTGGTGTGAAAGCCTTCAGCAACTGCAGCATTAGCAACGCAGTGAATAGAACGAAGGACGATGCACTCTTGGACGTAACTAGCGAGAAACAAACGTCGGACTCAAGTTCAGATGAGTCTGAGTGACAGCACTTTGTGGCCTTCTGGCATTTAACTACATAATATTACTATCAAAATACGGTTGAATCCCTTTATAAAAAGCATGCTCCGGGCAGCAGTTCTTGTCTTTTATATCAGATGTCTCTTATAAGCAGGGTACTTCGTATGCATTTTCTTATGAACCCATATTTTACTGTAGGCACACCGACGTCTCTTATACCCATTTGTCTCTTATATCAGTCTTTTTTATAAATGGATTCGACTGTAAAAAGACATGTCACCACAGTGCAGCTGGTTGTGTTTTGTATTTATCAGCTGAGGGTGGGTGCTACTGCAATACTTTGTGATTTTGGAGATTCAAAGTTGGCGAGGGTTGACCTATATTCCAGTTTTTACGGTAGCAACGTGCTGATGACGCAATGCGATTCATGAGAAAGCTCCCACTGAATTTCACCATGAAAAGCATTCTCTAGCAAGCCGTAGCCATGAAAACGCACAATAACGGACTTGACTATGAACCCGGCAACAAGTGTTGGATTACATTAGAGAACTATTCGTTTCAAACAATGCCATAAGTGTTACGACTACATTGCAGAAATTTGATATCAAACATGGCCAGACATTTTTTTTAACACAAAACATTGAGAAGATAAAAGCTCAAGGATGCTACTTACATTGGAAGAGGCCACAGCAGCTTTGAATTCATCCATCATTGTGTTTGAGACCTGACATGTCCTTGAACATGCCTTCCAATTTAGAGGTAAACTGGCAACCACATTCAGTCTGCAAGGACACACGTCGTGTTACTTCAATCCAGCAAAAGTATTCTGATTTCACTAGCAGACTACATGACAGAAAATATACAAAGGGCAGCCAACAACTACTACTCATCATGAAATACCAAACATCAATTACACAGACTAGCAGCACCAAAGCTACCACAAAACTTTGTTATTTCAAGCTTCAAATGCATGACGGATTTCTTTCAACAAGCGGGTGTTCGAGGCAGAGCAAGATGCTCTGACACAAATTCATGATTTGAATGTATGCAATGCAGCTGTATTGAACTTGCTTGACTGCATGCAAGCAAGAAGCCTTGCCATAGAAGCATTTAGCCATTTGATCCTTATACAGACGCGTCTACTTTAATGGGAACACCTGAGTGCACAGGATGTTTAGATTTCGCTATCTCACTGGAACCATAGTAGCGTAGAGATGCATAAGACTACAGGTGCTTGAAAGTTCCGACTCCACTTGACAGACTAGTGATGCTTACGCAGACTGTTTTCATAACCACTTGCTCTTAGAGAGTCATCAGTATTGATGGTGTGCCTTCAAGTTTTCCCTTGAACAGTGGACGGTACTGTACATCAGCATAGCATGATTTTGGGAGTTTCTATGAGCGAGAATTATAATATGATTGAGGTACACAGTAGTGAGAAACTCTAGGGTAATTTTGACCCCCTAAGGGTTTTTTTAACATGCAACTAGATTTAGTTAACAGAAAGAACATTTGATACACATACGAAATGCAAACATGAGAATGTAAACATAGCAAATTTTTCTTTCTATTTATTGCTATGCATGATGCTAGGGGGATTATTTCAAGGCTTAGAGCCTTGAGTACCCTTAGCATCTAGCCAAACCTCGATCTCACCTCACCTTGAAGTAATCTGGAGCAAGTAGCGTTGAAGTTTTCACAGAGATTGGGTTTTATTCAGAAAGAATAGTGTACGCACTTATATGTTGTTGTTCCACTATATACCAAGTGCACATTACTCTTACAGCTGGTTACTGCTGTCAAAAACACAATGTAACTGCAGGTTTTTTTTTATTCAAGTACCTTAAGGGCCTGAGTAGGTATTACATAGGGAAGATATAATACAATAAAGCTGTTGCAAGTGCAGCATACATATTCAATAAAAAATAAAATGTTTGATATAAATATACACATACTCAAATACACACATGCATACATATTTAGACATACCATAACATAATAGAGCACTGTCATGAATACTCCTCAGTGTATACTCGATGCCGCCAATTTTTATTACTCAAAAAGGTACTGTACACACAGACTGACACATGAAAAGTCGAAAATTTAGGGCTAAGTAATGCACATCATTCTGTTTCCAATGTCTTCAGTTTGTGCCATGTTGGCACGAAACTGACTCTAACACTTGCATGATAGCCACCATTTCCATTGGTGGCCAGATTAGCAGTGCCATACTGTGTTTAACACAAGCAATTGCTCATAGCAGGTGTTACACTTGAAAAAAAAAATGTGTTTCAATCAGCCAGCACTGTACGGTTATAATGAAACTTGAAAGGAAAAGGAAAGTCAAAGGAAAATATTAGCTAGGTTTTATAGCGACAGGGAACTCATACAATGGGGTACTGAGGCCAACACCATTGGCCATGCATCAAAATCCCAAGCTATGGTGATACAGCCACTTGCCTTGAGCTTGGAGATCATGTTCTTCTCAGAGTCATCGGAGACGCTCTTGTTGAGCAGTAACCGCTTGGCCAGGTGCTGCTTGTAGTATCGCTCAAACAAGTCCTTCTCCTGTAGGTAGCGAAACAGCACCATGGTTTTGTCGAGCACCTGCTCAATCTCCTGCTCAGTCATGCCCTTCAGCCCCTTCTTGAGCTTATCATCCACAAACAGGGACAGGTACTCGGGCGACTTGCGGTTCAGGTTGAGGAAGTACTCAAAGTCACTGGCAATCATCTGCTTGAACTGGCGCTCGCCGTTGAAGGAGTGGTGCAGAAAGTGGTCGAAGCGATCCTTCAGGTCCAGAAGGTTCTGCACGAAACTCAGGGCGTCCCCCTTGCCACCATCCTCTTCGGTCACCAATGACTTGCCCTGCTCGCGCAGATACTGGCTCACACAGTCTACCACTGTCTTGAGGCCGTCCTGGACCCGGTTGAAGAGGCGGAAACATTCGTGCCAAGTCTGCATAGCAAAAACACACATGGCCACTGCGTGAGATCAACAGTAACACTGTGAATAAGTCCTCACACTTACAAACAGCCTCAAGCTGCCTAACCACTCATTAAGAACCTCTTTGTTTCTCATCCATAGAACATATTCACAAACCCGGAAATGGAACGTGACCTTTTTGCACTGCACCTACATCAACACGAATCGGCCACAGTTTTAAGGTCCTAGAGGCAAGTAGTTTTCAAATCAACATTTTCATAAATTCATTTCTGCCAAAGACAGCATCTAAGAGGAACCACTTCCCAGTCCTCTGTCACCAACAATCCAGACCATTCATCTTTTCAAGCTGCCTTGCAGTAACATTCCTCTCTGTAATGCTGTTCCACATTAAGAATATCTTAAATAAAGGTTCGTAGGGGTTATTTTCCTAAACTAGAGCATGATCAGAAACATGTCGTAGTGCAGGATTCCAGAATGTTTTTGACCACCTGGAACACAGACTTAAGCAGTAGTACACAGACGTTCTTGCATTTAGCCAAAATGAAAAGGCAGCCACCGTGGCCCAGAATTAAATTTACATCCTTGAGCTTGGCAGCCAAACACCACATCTTCTAAGACTAAACCACCACAGCAGGTAAGTCTTTATGAGTGCACCGGAAAAAAAAAAAGTTCCACAAGCTAGATTACAGGTAGTGCAGTGCAAACAAAAATCCTTTAAAAAATATTTCAGCTAGTTGAGTAACACTGATGTTTCATGCCTTATATGAACCAGCTCCCATGAAATCTGTGCTAATTCTTCCATTCTTCCAGCCATGATGCCTATTTTATTATATTCAGACTCAAAACAATCGAAACATCACACATGCAAAAGAGTTAAAAGAAATGTCTCACCCTCCGTTTTCTGATTCTTGAGCATATGCACAACACCAGAGTTCTCCATCTGTAGCAAAGGGGAGTAAGCGAATGAAGAGCAATGAGATGGAGATGACAATAAATATCTAGGGCAGTAAGTGAATGAAGAGCAATGAGATGGAGATGACAATATCTTAATTCCAAAGACCTTCAAGGAAAGACTGCTATCAGCCAAAGGTTTTAGTTCTAAAGCCACTGCTACGACAAAGCAAATATCCCTCTCGCAAACTTTTACAATCACAGGTAGAACAACTGAACGTATAGGAAACAATGCGCTAGATGTTGTTACAAATAACTTTTCTTTAGTAAAGCTTCCCACAACACTCCTGTAATCATGAAAGGCAAGCTGAAACTCGCGTGTCTTTAAGAAACCTTGCGAGCTGTTCACAATACAGACATGAAAGCAGAAAACAAGCCAAAAATAGTCAAATTTATCAACTTTGTCAATCCACACTTAAAGAATAAGTGACTGGGTGAAACAAAAGAGTTACCTCAACAATTGTCTTCATGTGGTTGGTAATGAGTTCCTTTTCAACCACCTGCACAATAAGCTCTTCGGTGAACTCGTCCAGGTAATGCTTTGCTCGTTCCGCCTCTTCGTTGATGCGCTGCTCCACTTTCTTGATGTACACACAGGCACTGTTCTCCGTCAGAAATTTTTGGCTCTCCGCCTGCATGCACATGTGTTTTCATCCGGAGGGAAGGAATGACGATCTTGCTGTCTAGCTAAAGCTCTGATGAGTTACAGTCGATCTTGGATATATCGAATTATTGGCTATATCGAACAGTTGAAAAATTCTCTTGAACTTTTCATGCAAAGGCATGGGGCCGGTGCACCCATACATCGAACTTCAGCACAGCGGGACATCCGCTATATCGAACGCTGCGCCGCGCCGAAGACCAGAAAGTGCATTTTCCCTAGAAAATAGATATTGATCAATTTTATGACCTGTTCTAACAAGTTCCGATCTTTTTCGCATGCAAGCGACAAAAAAAAAAAAAAGTACGGGTGTTATTCCATCGTGCTGATCTGGTTCGTAGCGCAGCACTTGCTACATCTGTAGGTTTGATGCGTGATCTGCAGGTCTTAGCGCGCGGACATGATGTTTTCCAAAAGATCGATTGCCGAGGGCATTAAAATGAGAATGGGAAGTGACTCGGCGATCTCAGTGCAATGTTCGCATGTGGTTCGCATTCCCTTCCTTGTTGTTTGCGCACAATGGCATGCAAGCCTAAAAAGCATGGCCTTCGAGATGTGCTACCTTGTCACACATTTTTTGCGTTTTCGGTTTCAATACACGTGTCTCGGAGGCTACGCTTTTTTCATCTTTTCGCATCAAAGCTGCTAAAAGCAGCGGCTGCCAGCTACAAAGCCATAGTTGCATCGATATCGCCAACATGTTGACGGTGAGAACTCGGACGAACTCTGCGTTGTGTCTTTTGCTCCTTGTGGTTTTGTGCACTTCTCCCCTCGTTCCTGAATAAATCCTCATTCAGGAGTTTAACTGAACGTTGACCCGCAGTAGCGATATAAAATATGACTGGCGCTTGGAGCGACGTCAAGTGAAACACTGTGTTGTAAACGTTCCTTGCGGGCCAGGTGATGACTTCGGGTGCGTCCTGACCACTAAAAATAGGCTTACAGTACCTCAGTGAATTATGAGATTTCCGGGCACCATCTCGGACAGAAGCGACTTCATCGGTACAGATGATGATGTTGCCGTTTCTGACTGCATCGATGCTGAGATTTTGGCTGCCGGTACCACGAAAGTGTACTCGTGCGTGTGTGATGAATATGCAAACGCCTTCGCTGCCACCGCTAACCAAGCTTTTTCTGGGCTACAAAGCTTGCGTCGGCATTCTGCGTCAACCAACGTTGTGGCCGAAGGAGCTAAGATCGCGTATTTGAAAAGCTTCAATGATATTAAGGATGACTGGAACTTGACAGCGCGCAAGAAGTAAGACAAGTTTACGGACTAAATAAAGTGCGGTAACTTGCAGTTCGCACTTTGTTTTTGAGCGAATCGCTATCTTAGCTCTTGTAACGATTTTAGAGGCCTGAAATTCTTCAATTTAGGGCTTAAATATGCATATTTTGTTATTTCGAATTCTCGATATATCGAACTATTTCGCGATCCCCTACGAATTCGATATATCCGGGATCGACTGTATTATATACCATAGCAATGCAGCTCTCCTCATTAGCGGATGCAACATACAAAAATTTGTTTAAGACGTTGAGCACCGATAAAGTCAAACAATGATATAGTGGGCATTGCTAAACGCATACAATCAATCACAACAGTTCTACGTGTTGAAGCCACTGAACAACATATACACTTAAACCTGCCTACAACAATCTCCATACAATGAATTCTTCGATGTTACAACATTTTTCTATTCCCTACCATTACTCTATAGAAGTGGATGCATTTGCGGCATTTGTTTAACGAAGTGGCAGCGGGAGACACCCTTGATATAAATAAACTTTGCCTGCTCACAACTGAGCGATTATACCACGAATTTAGTCAGTTTGGCAGGCATGCATCTTCCTCAGTTGCCCCGCCACCGACGAAGCCCCGGTGAAAGCAAGGCGAGAGCGAGCACTCGTTAATGTGTGCAACCCTGCACCTTTCAAGCCTATGTTAACTGCCTTCGTTGGCACATGTGTGCTACCTCCCCACCCTACACATCTTATCCAGCTGCTCACGCGTGCCACCAATGGAGTAGCCACCAGACTAACCATGCCGACAGGGATGTCAACACCATTCATTAGTTGTTGCAAGTCTCTGAACTGCACTCTGTTAACGTGACCACTAGCCCCTCTTCCCTCCCACTTTTCAAATCCTTGCTTTTGTGCTGTTACACTACAGTCCCTAGAGCTGTGCTTCGAGTTTGTGCCGTATTGGAGAGCGCTTTTCTGAATGTTTTGTGGTATCCGGGTCATTCACTATTTGTTTGTGCATGTTTTCACTGCCCAAGCATTCTGCAGTGCCCTAACGACATGCAACTTTTCGTGTGTGTGTGTGTTTGTGTCCCCCTCCCTTAATGCGGTCAACTGTATCGTCTCTACCGAGAAGATGTCGGATTAAGCGCTAGTGGCAACTTCTCAGACCACGATGACTACGGATTTTTCGAAGTCACACATCCTGCGCTTTGGCATGTGGTGCCACATCGAATTTCGGTCGTGGGCTCTGAGATGGTCTCCGGCAAGGCGCCAACATGGAGTTGTCGAAGATCACAGCTATGATGAAGCAGCATTGTATTGATGTCCTACGAACCTTCAGCATTACCATCCCTCACAAACAAGCAAGAGAGCAAATTAACACAGCTTTTTTTTCTGCTAAATAAATGTTTAGAGTAAGCTCTGCTTTCAGTTCACATTTTGTTTAATTTTTGCATTTCTTCCGGTAACTTTTATGCTGAAACTGCACATTACAAAAATGTGTTTGTAATGTATGTTGGGGGGAGTTTGTCGATTTTGTCATATCCAGGTTTAACTATTTACACGCCGAAGTGACCACAAAAACCATTTAGAGCTTCATGATATTTAGTCAAAAAAGTCCTAACAAGACCGCTCGCAAGAAAGATGTTAGCTTACCATATAGAATTCTGCAGATTGTGCTAGGAAGGGCCGCTCGAAGTCTTCCTCATAGACTGACCTTGAATCAATCCCTAAGTGTACCAGCATTTGGCAGGCGTTCTTGATGGCTAGCCTAAGAATAAAAGAAAAAGACGTCACCTGTTTCTAACCATGCGAATGAAAATGGGGCTATGCTAAATTAAAGACACAAATCAGTAAAAGAAAGCCACCAAAACGCTACACAATGCCTACCTGACCAAATGTTCATTTCCTAGATTCTTCCAGAAAAATCTCATACTTGTGCACAATTAAACAATCGAATCGATTGAAATAAACAATCGGAACAATTCAAAAGAAACGCTTTCTGAGGTTCTGCATAGAACATATATTAATTTCTGCATATCCTACTTACTTTACTTTTTTCTTTCAAGAGTCAGCAATACCAACATTAGTTCAGAAGAAGGGCTGCCATCATGACTCTGCCGCTAAAGTGCTCCAACAGACAAAGTTGCTGGTAGGGCTGGTTTGGGGTGAACACTCGAAAAGCCCCTTTGATCAAAATTAATTTAGAGTGGCTCATTTTTATAGCCTCCACATCGTCTCTGAGACATTAGAGACAGAGCCACTGGCAGTTCCTGCATTTTATTGATAAAAGACCCTGCCCTGCCACTTTTTCTGAATGTCACAACATACAGGCTTCTACAGAACAGCACAGCAGAATGGTCATTAAGCTTGTACATGAATGGCACCACACAGAAGGTGCAGCTCACAAATGTGGCAGCAGCTGGAATAATAAAGAGAGTGGGCCTACCTATCGACCACTTCTCCTTTGCGCTCTTGCTGGACCATGCCCAGGAGCGTGTCACGGAGGTGGTCCCGGATGTTGCCATACCGCACTACCTGGTCCCGGAAGATGATCAGGCCTAGGTTGTACACGTTATCCACATTGTTCTGCTGGACATACACTCGATCCTGCACCAATGCAAGAAAGCAACGAGGCATCAAAAACAAGTTTGTCCAGGAGCATTTGGAGGGTTACACTAGATCAAGCGAGCAGTTGCAAGAAACAATGATAGTTTCTTGGGCAGAAAAAGGAAAGAGAGCTTATAAACTTTGTTTCCTCCTAAGCTTCCCTGTCTTTCTTCAAAGAAGCAGCGCACAAATGTACGTCAAACACTGCACACATATAAAGATGTAAATCAAGTGCTGTGTGCAGGCTTGGTGTCCTTTTGTGTGCTGCTTTTTTTTAAACCTTGGCTCACAAACTTGCCCACCAGCCTACGCTTTCTGTTGGCCGCTGTCTACATAAAAAGAGGAAATGACAAACACATACCATGTACATGAGAATGTCCCTGATCATGACCATACTTGTTTGGTGATCATTCCAGGCTTGATTTAGTGTTTGTAGGAAGTTGTTGTGCAGGGAGGCTAAGACATCTGCCCGAACCTGAAAGTGGAAAGAACACATATTGAGCCTGTACAGCATGGAAAAGATTACTGCATTATTTTGATATCAACATACAATGTTGCATAGCAGGTCAATTCAATAAGGCACACACCGCATGTGCTCACACAAAACCAAAAGTGTTCTGAACTGTGACCTAAAAATTGATACACTCAGTTTTTTTGATACACTCAATCCCTTTCTTTTAAAAATCGACAGCATTTTCTGCCCCTGTTTGCCCTGTCTTGTTTCCTATTTTTGTATGCACTGCTGTTACTTTTTCAGATTCCTTCCTGTTCACATATGCACTGTCTTTCTAGTTCATCCTTTCCACAGCACTCTTCCATAACAAATCTACATTTCTCGACTGTCTAGCAGCTTGTATGCAACACATGCAAAGAAACAAAGAGCAATAAATTCAGGGATACCAATATTCAAGAGGTAGCACATGGCTTTTTGAATTGGTCAAAATCTGTCAGAGCCACAAACCTTGTTCACTAGATGCTCTGTAACCACCTCCCTCAGCCCTGTGTAGAGACGCTCTCCGTGTTTGTGCAACACCATGGTGTATGCATTGCGATACAGCTCCTCAAAGCTCAATCCACTGTTGTTCTTCTTCTGTATCTCCTGGATGGCATTACGCAGGAGACCCCAGATGTTCTGGACATACCTCTCGTCCATAGACATCTGTGTGAAACGAAACAGATTACCAAACGGCAAGAAAGAACAGCATACAGAAATGATTGAATTTTACAGTAATGCAAACTTTGGCTTGGTTTAGCCCATGATCAAGAAGCACTACTATAACCATCCGCACATATTTGTTATGCACATCTGTTGTGCTCATGTATATGAGTGTTCACACAAATCTTACAAGTTTAGTTGGCTTCAAAACTTTATGTAAGTGCTTTTTCATACTCGCAGAGGTTGTAGAAAAAGCTATACTCTAATTTAGCAGCGACATTCTAGAGTGCCAGAATTCTAGTACACATTACTTAGTTCATCTCAAAATGGCAGTCTATCATCATTAACACTATTGCAAGATCATAACAAAAAGAAAAACTTGCAGTTGTGTAGCATTGTATGATGATGCCACTCAAACAGCGACGCATTTGTGCTGGTCACATTTGCACATGACAGCTGCATCACTCACAGATATCTAGTGTAGCATGATGTACAGAGGGAAATGTACTGCAGCAAAGGTTTACGGACACTAAATATGTACTCTTAATAGCGCACAGCTGACCTCCGAGATTATGTTACCAACTAAAATTGGACAGATCCCACGTACCTTGGCGAATGAAAGTTTTGCAAAGCATGCAGAGGGAAGGCGACTGTTCCATTTTTTTTTTTTTATTGAGGGAAATCTTATAAAACAATACTAAAGATATGTACACATGTTCCACAGACAGACATAAGTTGAAATGTTTTATAAAACCAGTTGCATAACGATACCTAACAGCAAGCAACATGGGTATTAGCAACGTCAGAAGCAGTTCGCTAATACCCACCACTTGTTCTTGCGAGGGATGATAGCCCCTGACAGTAGTACTACATGAATCAACTTCAGTGGATACTTAACTACAATTCATGTAAACCCGACACGACTGCTCTATCAGTGGAGTAAATGTGTAATGTTTATAAAATTAGATACCAGCACTGCAAGCACAGCTGACGTTTCTCAAAAATTAGGGTATTTTTCAAAAGCAGTTAAGAGACCTGGCATGGCTCTGTGCTAAAATAATTGATTGCCACTCAGAATGCTTAGGTTCGATCCCTGATGGGACCTTGACATTTATTCTTTGCCTTCACTGGGTCAACACTGCTGATGTCAGTTTTTTTTTCAAATGTTCTCGCACTAAAATTATTATGTCTTTCTTGCCACTCCTAGGCAGATATTAACTGTCAATCACCCACAGCACATTCCGCATACCATGGCCCGTGGTATATGGGTATGTGCCCCACTTGTCTGATGGAACAGCTTATGTAAGCGATGGGATCGTCACGTTATTCACATCATGAGCAGCGAGTCATATTCCTCAAACCATCTTACCCTTCCATACTAATTTTGGTCTACCCCAAGTTACAGGGTTATCACAAGAGCGCATAGATGTAGGCGGCTAGATAAGACAGACAGTAAGATTGCTGGAACCGCTGGAAGTGCCTGCAGTCTGCGAAAAATTGCTTCAAATAAAAAAAATGTTATGTCAACTGTCACGTCAATACTCCTTTGCAGCCCCCACACTTATCAAAAGGGATTAGCAAAAAAAAATTTTTTTTTTCTGTTCACATTACGTCATTTCCGATGTGATCTACAGGTACATAAAACACAGAGTGCGCACCCAACACACCAGAATTTCTCACTCTGGACATTTCTGCCACTACTGCAACTTTAGAGAGGTTTGTATCAGTGGCACCTTTCTAAAGAATTTTGTAGTGTCACAGCTTCTGCCAGTATTCACAGCCATAGTGTTGGAAGCACAAGATCCACATGTGGTAGATTCTCTTCAAAATGTAAATGTGTGGTGTGCACTGTATTAGAGTGCACAGACTGGGGAAGAGTGAAAATTGCACACAGGTCATGTAGTAGTTCTGTGGTGAATAACATTTCACTTCCATTCGTGGTAACCACTTTCCATAATCTTTCCGCTAGCAGCATCCATCGTAAACTGAGCAGCCATCTTAAAGTAGCGTACCCTACACATCATTTTGAATTGGTTCACTAATAATCCTAGTTGATTTTTATGATATTATCATCTATTGGGTTGAAGGGCCAACATGAAGGTCATCACAGCCCAACATCACTAGAGCAAAAGACAAATAAAAGATGAGCCGGTAAAAAAATAAGATGTGCAGTTTGTCATCACTATTTCACAGCCATGACCACTCATTACAGATGCCAGGAGTGTGTACTTATTGTCAGAACATTGAAATCGGAGAGCCACTTTTCAAAATTTGCTGCAACTGCAATTGGTCTTTGTTCTCCTAATACACTCCTAAAGTGATCTGCTCTTGAATCAAAGTTCGAGCAGCACGCAAGTAACGTTCAAAAAAAAAAAGAAAAGAAAAATGGTGCTTGGGTAAGATTTTTGTAGCGAACTCAATAAATGCACACGTCTGTTAAAGAACAACAATTCGCTTTACAACTATGAAACTACATTTGGTAAAAAACATGCTACTCAAGTGCATTTTTTAGCAGAGGCAAAAGAAGACATGAACTGTTCACTTAACAAAGCTCAAATGTAAAATTTTCAACAAGTGCAATTTATACATTTCAAAGGCAAGTTTATTCAGCTCACAAAACACACTACCACTTAATAGTGTTTCTGTTGAAGTAACATTTTGCTTGCAGTTACCATCCAGTATGATATGTCAAGATACATAAGGCTCATGTTATACATGCATAGAATGTATCAAAGACATGAAAATGTGCATGCCACTTGCTACAAGCCACAACATCAATCTTTTATTCTTATAGTACACAACCTTTACGATTAACATTAAATAAGTATTAAACACAGGAACACCACAACAATTTCGATTAGTCACACTTGCACTGGGCTCTGGATTATGATTGGCCAAATAGGATTGCTCAAGACAATCTAGAAAATGTTACTGAATTTCCTATGAATATGCATAGAGAAGAAGCAAAATTTAATGCTGATGTCACAGTTATGCATACAGATACAAACAGGGAACGAAAATTTAGCAAGTGACAATAAACTTGCAACTACAACTATGGCTGCGCTATCTCGAACTTTCGAAAAACGAGCTGCACGAAGGTGTTCTCAAGGCATAAAAACTGTTCCTAAAAGATGGCAAACCGTATGCACTGTCCTAAATGTACAAATTTCAAAGTAGTTTCAGCATCATGCATGAATGTCAGAGCAAGGTCTGTCATAGTCACCCAAGTTATTGTGAACGAAGATCACAGCTGTGAAATCGCACACAGATAAATAAGTCCAGCGCCTTCCAATTTAGTTTAAGCGGAGGTGTTAGCGACCAAGAACGCTGTGGATGTGGTGAGCGATGAAAAAATGAAATAAAATAAAAAAACAGATGCCCCGACAATGTAGAGCCGGCGTTATTTATTGACATTTCGTTAGATGCCACAACTTTAGACAATGTCACTTCCTTGCGTTCCCTAGCTCACACGGGTCATATTTGGTATTTGCCGCGGTCACGACCTACAGTGGTCACAGTGATTAATTAAATGGGCAATGACGTGTGAAACTTTTGCAAGATGGAGGGAGGGAGGGGGGGGGGGGGGGGGGACATGCCAGCAGCGGTCACAAAGCGTTCTTCTTACGTACGGCAGTTATACTGATAACAGTCTAAAACTGTGACCACAGCGAGAAGCTCTAAAACACGTTTAGAGCTTCATCGTTTCACTGTATAACACGCTTATTACGAACGAAACAAGAGAATGCACACACTATTCTACCACCAATGTCACTAACAGTGAATAAACTATCGTTTCTGTAAAAGAGCCGGTATAAACCATAATTTTATGCGGTGAACTCGAAACTTCGCAACTCTGACGAAGATCGCGGAACCGGAGCAAAGCAAAAAAGTCATGCTGTAATCAGCGTAACCACCGAGGCTGACCTTGGTCGAAGTGTCATGAGGTAAATGTGATATCGTGAAGACGCCTGTGCTAAAAAATTGCTTCAGGCCATCGTTCGCACTTAGAAAAACTGAGGCACTTCATAAACAACACAGTGGAGCAGCACCACTTTGCAATCCATTTTCCGCCGGGCCAGAAAATGAAATTTAGATATCGCAGCAGCTGAATAATAACTTGTAATGAAACGGGTTTCACAGCTTAAGCGTGCTTATCGCGTTACGTGACAAATACAATCTGCGGTGTGATTTTTCTTGGCCGCTAAAAGCACTTTATGAACGCACATTAGGCCTAGAAGTCATCGAAGTGAAAGGTTTGCCGACACTCACAGGAAATGCTCGGATACGCATTTTGGTATCCTTCTTGCCAGGCTTCAAGCTCATTGTGCGTTCAGGACACGGCAAGAACTCAGACGAGCGCACGCATCCACGGAGAAATCTCTAGGCGACCGTTCTAGCGTAGTTCCCAGCCACCGACATCAGTAAACAACTGTTCTGACAGGCTTAGCACTCGCGCACTGTAGCCACTGCCATGACCGACTTTGAACTTGCACCTATGCTTTGCAGTTTTTGCAAAAACTAGCGCAGTAACGAAAAATGTTGCCGTAACCGTATAAAAGATTATGACGCTTCCATGGGAACCCGGAAGGTTTCCACGCAATGTCGAACTCGAGGAATTTTACATCAACGTGACGAGAGACGCGGCTTTCTGTGACCGGCCAGCTTATTCATCCTCTCAATGCCGAGCAGGAAAAAAAGTTTCTTGAATATCAATTTCACGAAGCAGGAACATCGGCCGATTTAATGCAGCTCTAAATAGTGCCACTGCCTGTATACTATGCTAGTTTTATTCATATATCAAGCATAGTTTTTATTCTGCCCTCATTTGTCGTTTCAACAACAAAGCTCCTTTTCAGTAGAAACTATTTCTCGGTAAAACATATGAATATTGCGGACATGTATATTACATATGATAAATATTACAACCGACAAAGTTTCGCATGCAAGAGTTTTACGTAGGAACTATTTTGTCAGCCTTATATTGCATTCCGAAAGTGTCCTAAAGTACACTACGCGCATCATTACACAGGTGGCGCGTAGTCCATTTCCGGCTATACAGACTTGTTCCGGTGACGTGGTTTCGGTTGTGCGCTGTTGATTAATTTGACATGTGCCTCACACATGGTGTTCGTTTCTATACGCTTCGTTCGCGCAGTCTGCTATAGCTTTAAGTTAGTTCCGTGGATATGACACACTTTGCGCAATCATTGTGCGTTGTAGCTATCAGAAATACGCGCGCATTGTCTTGTGTACGGCGCGCGTTGCTTCAAACCGACTTCCTTCCCGCCACCAACGTTGGCAAAATGGCCAAAAGCAAATTCGAATACGTGCGACTATTCGAAGCCGACGACAAATGCTTGATGAACTGTTGGATCGTCGTGCGCATTGACGGCAAGGGCTTTCACAAGTTTTCCGACGCCCACGGCTTCGAAAAGCCCAACGACAAGCGGGCGCTCGACCTGATGACGCGCTGTGCGGAGCACGTCATGGAGGAATTCAGCGAGATCTGCGTGTCGTACGGACAGAGCGACGAGTACAGCTTCGTGTTTCGGAGAAGCACCGAACTCTACAACCGTAGGGCGAGCAAGATCATGACGAACGTGTGCAGCTTGTTCACGTCTTCGTACTTGTTCTACTGGTCCCAGTTCTTCACGTCCCCCGTGCAGTACCCGCCTTCTTTCGACGGCAGAGTAGTTTTATACCCAAGCGACGCAAATCTCAGGGATTACTTGAGTTGGCGTCAAGCCGATTGCCACATCAACAACCTCTACAACACTGCCTTCTGGGCACTGGTGCAGCAAGGAGGCCTTTCTACTAAGCAAGCTCAAGAAAGATTGCGAGGCACCGTGTCGTCAGACAAGAATGAAATACTCTTCCAGGAGTTTCAGACCAACTACAATAACCTGCCGGCGCTTATATCGCAAGGGCACCGTCGTCATTCGTGAGCCAATAAACGACGAATCGTCAGGAGATGGTTCGAAGGTGTCGAAAAATCGTAAGCACGTAAAAGCGTACAGAATAACTGCACTAAACGTCGATCTAATTCAGAAGGACTTTTGGAGTAAGTACCCGCACTTACTGGCAGAATAAACTTAGCTTTTAATACTCTTCTTCTATGTTGAAAGTAATCGCCGAGCTTGCTTATAGTTGGTGCAGTGTCTCTGACATGGAACATAACAGACAAGTCCCATTCCCAAAACACTTCTTTATTTCAGGTTACGATCTCCCCAAAATAGTAGCATGCACTGACAGCCACAAACAACATTGCACGAAAAAGCGTGTCGGCAAATGTGAACAGTTGGCCATCACAGTAGTTGTCCATATTTGTGCTAAACATGTGTATTAGCAATCAATCAAACACACTGCAAGAGCACAGCTTTTCACACATTACAACTAGGTCCTTTGCTTGAGGTTACGCAAAATCCCTATGTTCACACCCTAAATAAGGTGTATGAAATTGTGCTAAACCCAATTGCCCTCGAAGTTTATCTTTTCATTTAAAAAGACAATAGCAAATGTAAAATTTTACTACTTTGCAAACATGCATGACAAAAACTTGTAAAGCAGAAAAACTGACCAGAACAAATTGCCCGAAATATATGCCAACAAATGCATGTAAGAAAAAATGTAGCACCTTTTGCAAAGCATGTTCACAACTATTTGTACTTTTGTTGAAATAATACAAAGAACTAATCAAAAAAGGGATAAAAAAACAAGTTCCAATTTGTCATTTTTGTTTGCCTCGCAACATACAAGCAGCTCTCTTTTTCATTCCACATTTCTTTAATGATTTCGCGGTTGAAAAAGCACATTTGAATGCTGAAGAGATGAAGACCACCAATGCAACTGTTAACTAGTTGGCGTGGCTTCATAACGAAAAGCAGCGCGAGCAAACAGAGAGAGACAAACAGGACTTGGCCGCACCGTTTCCCATTTAAAAACAACTGCTAACTGTATATGAAACAAGAAAGCTACAATAAAAATTTTAAACTTCTAGATGCCACACAAAAACAGAAATAATTCTCCGCAGTTTTATTCACAAAAATTAGCAATATTTGACCCTTAAACTTCCGACAGCGTAAAATTCCAGAACAAAGGACCTCAAATATATGGTGTTAGTGTAACAAAAAAATTGCATAGTTGGAGGTGACTATATTCAATATTGGTGCTGCAATCACATTTTTCACATTCTTCGAAAGCAGTGAAAACGCGCAGCTGTCATAGTGCAGCAAAGTTCAAAAGCTTTAATGCACACATTCCACCTGCTGATATCTGCAAGTACTATGTAGCTTTCACCTTAGCTGCTTACTGGTTCGTCTACAGATACTACTTTGTCATAAACATCAAACTCAGTAATGCAAATATTTAGATTTGTAGCATTTGAGTTTGGGACTGATGACGAACTGGCCCCTATGTGCATCTTTCTGTCAGTGCTAACTTGACACCAAGTAAATTTTAGATGTTTAAACCAAGCATCACTAAATGCAGCATTTTCAGTACTAGTAGCCAAGAGCTAGGTTTTCCAATACTCGTATATTTCACACTGATTTTCTTTCATTGTAAAATGGCATATGCTAGCTTGTGCCATGTTGCAGCTCTGCTTGATGCTCTCTGTACACCAAAGAAATTAAATGCTTAGGTTTTCTGGCACAAGGCTAACCAGAGCTGCCTTGCATTTCAGTAATATGTCTTAAAAGGGCCCTGCAACACTTTTCGAAGTAGCCATGCGGTGGACTCATTGAAGGAGCTTATTGCCTCGAGAAGTGATTGCTGCAAAAATTCTTAGAATCCGTCCGGTACAAGCGAAGTTGCAAAGATTCGTCGCATGCTGCAATTGCATTGTTTCTTCTCTCGTCTCGACAAAAGCACTGGAAGCTAACAAGGGAGGGATAGAATAGAAGGCAAGCCTCTTGACCTGGAGCATTTTCTCTCTCTCTCTCTCTCTTTTTTTTTTTTCAAAGCGGCTTTTCAGTGTGATTGCACGCACACGCATGGACAGGTCGCAACCTCCTGCAACAACCCCAGTAACTCCTGAGCGCACTATGCTCAAATCAGTCAGTGGCGTAATACTTAGGCCTGTGACACACTGATTATTGATCGATCGATATGTGGAGTTTAACGTCCCAAAACCACCATATGATTATGAGAGACGCCGTAGTGGAGGGCTCCAGAAATTTAGACCACCTGGGGTTCTTTAACATGCACCCAAATCTCACACGGGCCTACAGCATTTTCGCCTTCATCGAAAATGCAGCCGTCACAGCCGGGATTCAATCCCGCGACCTGCGGGTCAGCAGCCGAGTACCTTAGCCACTAGACCACCGCAGCGGAACGCACTAATTATTCAGTATGTATGTATTTGTCAAGAGGAGAGGAAACGATTTATGGCTGACTTTGAGAATTTACTCTAAATTGCATGCTGCACTATAATATTTTGCTCGCGTGTACTCAGGAGGAAATATCGATTAGCAGCGCTTTCTGACCATGCCAAAGAATGTGTTAAAGGGCCCTTTTTAGACACAGAAAAACGCTAAGATGGCCGTATAGTAAACCATAGACATCCACAAGATGATTATGGCTGATACAATGACTGAGACTAAGCTAAGTTTACGTATTCGCATAAGGTAAAAACTGCCAGGACATGTTTCTTAAGACAGTGTTGCCATTTTGGTCAGCTGACTGCCAGATTTTATAGATCATTTGAGAAAATTTAGCTTCCTTTTCACGGGAAAAACGTTATTGTTTTTAAATAATTTCTTGCTGTACTAAAAGATATCTAGTAGAGTCTGGTGTAATTTTATTGCTGCTTTAGTGTGATACCTGCAACAGAATGCAGTAACAGCGACTTGTGTGGCCTGCTTAACAACGCTAATGTTGAAATGAACTATCTTTCGACAGAACACTAACACCAACCTTACTCTCTGGAACCCTGTGCCATTAATGAAAGGTGTTTGGAATACACTTGGTTATCAGCAATAACAAACACAGCATCTCAAGATATATGCTTTTTTAAGTTGCCTGGGTGGTACCTGCAGTATTGTGATCACTATTTTACTCATGTTAATACACATTACAAATTGAATGCTCACCACTGTTAACCTTGTGTGTACATTTTAATTAAGGATTGTAACAAAGTTGTGTTAAAACAACTTTGTGTAAGGGTTGTTTTAACACAACCCTTGCAAAAGAAAAAAAATTATAGCAACACTGGTTAGGAAGAAAACCTGAAAAATGTGCTTATCCTTGTACTAAATGCAGGCAAAGACTGTCACAAACGAGACACTTATAATATCCCCTGGACAAATGAGACGTGGATAATATCCCCTGTGAGGTTACGTGTGACCACTTACAGATGCACTAACTGCACCAAACTAGTGTACAATCAGGTAATGTAAACATGATGAAGAAACATTGCAGATGCGAAATATTCACCCTAAGACCACATGCACCTCGGCATGCACAGTGCTTTCAATTCTACCAGCCCTTCTCATCACAAGTCCGATCACAGCACAGAATGGTAAGCCTTTGCTCTTGCATAAATGGTGCTATGCAGCGAGGAATGATTTCACGACTTACACCGGCTTACTCTACAGCTATGGCAACACAAGCTGTATAATTCTCACTGTATTTGACACACACAAAAAGAAGCAAAGTTCACTAACGTCTCGTAAAGTACAAAACTGGAACATGTAGGCTACGCAACAGCACTGCCTAAAAGTTCTTAACATCCTTGCATTTTGTACATAATGCTTATTAAATGAGCATATATATACTTAGGAAAAAATACATATGTGTAGTATATATTTACTTTAATTGCTTATACGTTGCATATCCTGAATCATGCAGGAATGGTAAATATAATTATCGGAGGTCTGGTGCCTCTTAACTTCACCTCAGTTGTGGTGCCAGTATCACAGGTTCATGAATCTCCTCACGAACCATAGAGAATCGTCTCCACTTCGCAGAGTTCATCCAGTGATTGCCCAACACGATTGCTAACCCCACTGCGAACAACACATACATTAATGCCAGAGATGAGACTGCATAAATGTTTCTGTACACACGATGATTATAGAGCCGATGACTTCTTCTTGCTTAAGAACGCCTGCAGTTCATTCCACGCCCTTGCCACCTGAAAGCAAACAAATATTGCACAGCTGAGCAGTAGCTACGGATGAAAGGTCAGTTGCTGTACCCCGATGACAACTGATGCCCTGCTTATTTTTCTCTTCAGACCTTTCAAATTCAATGCGGAATAAACAGCTTAGTGTGCCATTGTTAACAAAAAAAGGAAAACATTGATACAGCATTTTCTGACACACGGCTACTATGTCCACATAAACATGAGCATACAGTCATAAAATCAACATAGAGCACAGAATCTTTAATTCCTTAACTGAGAGTAAGTTAACCTGGAACAAATTTAAAAATATCTTGTTACTACAATATACTGTGCCATTGACACTTTTCCAGCGAAGAGCACACTCTGACTCATCTGCCAGGGGTTCTATTCATCCAAAAGTTCAAGGAAAAGAATGTTTTGTTTCTCATGCACAACAATAACCTTTCTTTACTGTGCCATTAACCCTCCGACTCGGCTTCCAGGGCTTCTATTCATTCAGAACTCTGACAGAAAGAATGTTTTGTTCCTCATGCACAACAAGTTGAACAAGCTTATCTAGTAATGACACTGTGCACAAAGCATGATGCTTCCCTGCACATAAAATTTGTTTGTTGAAACCCAGCAAGACACTAAGGGGGCTCACTAAACCACTGGGTGATGCCGACAAAAGGAGTGCCTCCACTTACAAAACAGCTGTGCATTAGTGCTCAATACTTCTCTGCCATTAAGACATGCCACCAGCTAAATTCACCAGTGAATTAGGTTTTCTTCCTTTTCCTTCCTCCTATATCTGAGTAATACTCTTTGCCTCCAAATCGAAACCAGTAAAAGCTGCGAGTGAGTAAGATAAAGCAGTTTCCTGCATCAAGCATATATAATAAGTGCTACAAGCACCAACGAAAATTTCAACCACTTGGGGCTCTTGATGCACACCTAGATGTATAAGTCCATAGGCCTGCAACGCCAAAATGCAACCATGGCAGTTGGCGTCAAACCCACATCTTTTGAGTCAGCAGCTAGGCACGTTAACCACTGTATCACGGCGACAGCTAGCAATTCACCTACATGCTTCTTCCATCTTTACCTGTCGTTCTGTTGTGGCATAGTCCCAAAGAGAGCAGAATATGACATTAGCCTTGTTAACACGCTCCTTGTTAGACATCTGTGCTTGGACCCGACGCAATGCTTGATCTTTCTCCAGGTTATCCCTAGCCATCACTCGCTTCAGCGCCTGTTTTTAAAAGACAAGGAGACAAATAGTGAAAAGAGGGGCATCACATTTCAAATACTAACAAACAATGCTTTTTTTTTTTTTCAGCATAATAACCATTCCAGCATGGGACACAACACTGACACACCTTTTGATGTGAACCTTTCAGCAAAACACGTTTATCAGGTCAAAGGCTAAAATATGCCCGTGCACTATGTGACTTGCAAACTAAAAACCAGGCTGAGCTGAAAAGTGAAGTTCAAATAAAAGTGGTTTATTGTATTTTCACAAAATACAGACGGCGTGACGCTACCTCCACAGTGATGGAAATAATCAGGTCATGCCCTTTCAGATATTCAGGGATATGGCACACTCGCCTATCCCTCCTGCACAATGTTCTGTTCAGGGTGAAGATTATAATGCCACTGTTCTTTCTAAAGCAATTCTAAAACAAGAAAAACTCGTCACTCTTCGAGCCACACATTAAAATTGACTTCGAAAAATGAACTCTGAAGTTCATCTCCTCACAACATCCTTGAAAGATGAACTTGAAAGTTTATTTTTGAAGAAGCCATTTTTCAGCATCGCCCAAAACATTATCTTTCCATGAATCTTTGATATTATTAGTGTGTTCAGTCTCATGGTCAGTTTATATGCCCAGTGGTAATACTCGGGCACTATAAAGTGTACTGAAATCTGACAGCACCATTGATACCACATGTGTTCACACTATTTTGTATTCCTTGTATCAAGTATAAGTTGCCTTACGGATACTTCTAGGCCCGTGCAAATGTTCGAACACTTTGAATAATCGAACAAATATCACAGAATTCGAATTCACTTCAATTTGAACTAGTAATATTGAAAAATTTTGAAGTATTTGAAATTAATGAATAAATCCATATTAGACTGCACGTAACCAGTTGTAAAGATGGTTTTGCTGCAGTAGAGGGGTGCTAAGCCACGGACACACTGATTTACCGTTATTACTTGAATCTAACGCGCACCTTTTTTCCGGTTAAGCGAGTTCATAAATCGCATGCGCGTTAGAATCGAGTACGAACAAAAAAATTACGGTAAATCTATTGCCATCGGCAAATCCAAAATGGCCGCCCCCTACGTGCGTCGGCATGGCGTGTCGGCCATTTCTGCCTATGTGTTTCCCATGTGCGGCACTTCGTACGTGTGCTGAGGAGTTCGTCATCTAGTAGTGCATTAGCATCGACGGCGTGGAAGGGCCGACTCCAAAAACTCGAGTGCACCACGATGCTGCTTTTAAAAGAAAAGTCATCGCGTGTGCAGAAACGGACGGAAATCGAGCCGCATCGCGGTCGTTCGGAGTTCCCGAAACGTGCGTGCGAGACCGGCGGAAACAAAAGCAGAAGATTGTCGACAGCAAAGCTTCACGCAAAGGCTTTAGTGGACCACAGCAGGGTCGGTTTCCGCAAATTAAAGAGCTGCTCGGCGAGCATGTGCTTGAGCAGCGAGCGGCACAGCGGCCCGTGACGACAGAACTGCTCCAAGTGCGGGCTATGCAATTAGCCTTAGAAAAAGGTCTAATGAGGAGCCAGTTTAAAGCGAAAAGGTGCTGGCTAACTAACTTTATGAAGAGGAAAGGCTTTTCCCTCCGAAGGGGAACATGCATATGCGAAAAACTTTGCGGAGGAGTACGGTGAAAAGCTTCACAGTTTTCAGAGGTTCGTCCTAAACTTGCGGCGCAACAACGGCTACCTGCTTGGGCGAATCGGGAATGCCGATCAGACGCCTCTTTACTTCGACATGCCTGGCACCACAACCGTCGAGAAGAAGGGGGCGAAGCAAGTTCGCGTGCTGACATCGATCCACGGTAAAACTACAGTTACGGCAATGCTCTGTTACACGTCAGATGGGCACAAGCTTCGCCCGTACCTCATATTTAAATGGAAGACGCTCCCGAAAGAAGTCGTTTTTTTCGAGTGGTGTAATCGTGCAGGCCAGCGAGAAAAATGTGTGCGCGTTGCAATCGATGTCTTACGTTTTTTTTTTTTTTTTTTGCGGTGAAAATCGGGTGCGCGTTACAATCGAGGGCGCGGTAGAATCGAGTAAATACGGTATATGTGCATGTAACACTCCTAAAAAGGTGGTTCCACTTCAGTAGAGGGATGCTAAGCCGTGAAAATGTTTATCAAAAAAAAAAGTCCGCATTGCCACGAAGCTCCACTTCAAGGTTAAAGGAACATATTACTATCACACTGATTCATTAATTTTTAAGTTAATATTTTTGTTATACCACCTCAAATGTCTGAACACTAGCGAACTTTAAAACGTAGCATATTTTACAGGTTATCAGTCGCATTCTACTTCCTTTTTAACCAAAAAAAAAATGCACAGGCCTTCTCAATTTTTAAATAATAATGTGCAAGTTATTCATGCCATGACAAACATTCTCACTTTTCTTTATAATATTTGATATATACTATTCAATTCAAGGTTATTCAAACTAAATTCCTATTCATTCTGAACCTAAAGTTCACTATACGCACCAGCCTCGATATTTTGCGCTCATGCACATAACCAACAACAAGGCAAAACAGGCTCGGCAGTCAGAAGCACTCTGATGCCCCTCATGGTGCTACGGCCAATGGTGCTTTATTGTTTCTGTAAATACCCTCACAAAATCAGTTTTTTATAGTTTCTTGCTTTATTTATACTTTGTACTTTTTATACTTTTTTTTCTTGTTAGCTTGCCCACACAATCACTGCTATCATTCTTTTGTCTTTGTATTTTGGCAGCCTGACAAAGCTGGACATGACAGTGTACATGGTCTGCTGCGACAGTGTACATATCTGGCCAGATAATATGGGAGGCTCTATGTATGGGGCCACCATAGCAGACTTTTCGCAGGCGCAAGTGTGAGTTCAGCAGCAAATACAATGTTGCTGTAGCTTTCAAGGAGCCGCTACTGAACAACTTCATATATTTAAGAAGCAAGAATTTTCTTTACAAATTTTATGAATTTTCTTGCTTATCAAAACAGCCTGAGTGCAGTCATCACTTCAATAAATCGAGCTTCAACTTCAGTTTGAATACCTTGATCAAATTCCAGTACTTACTTCCTCCACAGGAATGACACACACCCAGACTTGGATGAAACTTGTTTTCCCAGCCAGCCTCCAAAAGAAGTGCAGACTCCAAGACCACCACTTCGGTACCTGAGAGACAAACATGATCTAAGTTTTTGAAGTATACTGAATCACCAAAAATTCGCCGACAATTACGATGATGACTAATGTGAATTCTGAGCATAGCTTCATGTTGGAACCATGGCGACTGTGTGAAGTTCTCGGCTATCCTGCAGCGGTAGCAATGTAACAGTTCGTTACATATTGCCACACACACTGCCATCGCTCGAGTGCTATGCAGACCACTCTGTGCATTGCAGGCGTTGGTTGCGAACCGAGCGAAATGCCAACAGCCCTGTTAAAACAAGTGAAGCCAGGCACAGTGCACGTGCCAGCCCTGTATACGTACGAGCTCCAACCGACAGACGAGCACATGACCGAGGAAGAAAGCTAGGTTAGAGGGCAGTGACTCGCGATATTGACAGACTCCACGTCACTCTTTCCTTGCTCGTTTGCTCTATCGGTTATGCTGACAATGGCCAACAATGGTAGTACAGCTCAATGCAAGAACAGACACCTAAGAGCAGCACTCTAAAAAGTCGCATCACTAGAAGCAACTGATTGAGAGTCAAGCCAGTACCATTTCTTCTCCTTCAGTTGGTAATAGTATGTTTGCACAAAAAATACAGTTTATTACAAATTCTTAAGGAACAAAAACAACCTGAAGTGACTGAAAATGACACGTTACAATAAATTTATAATTGAAAAATAGGCTGCCAACATACAGGCCACACTCATGCAAAATAGCAATGGTGTGCCACATAAACACACCAACAAAACTTTAAACACACTGCACATGAATAAAATTGTTTGAAAAACTGCATTATGACAACCCTTTATAATTCTGTCAACATTTGTTTACACTTAGGCCCGATACCAACAAGCCCACTTGCTAACACAAGCAGTGCAGATATGCCAAGCCAGGTGAAGATGACCCAAAGGAATGTTGTAACACACATGAAATGTGAGGAATATGAGCTAGTAAGTTATACATCATGACGTACAACAGCAATGGGTTAGGAGTAGAGTTATTCATTGTTAAGACACTTGTGGGGGTGCCGACACCCCCCCCCCCCTGTAAGGTTGTTTGCGCTGCGTGGTGCACGTGTCTCACCCAAAAGCCGCATTTCAAGTTACAACCACCAGGCGGTAGGCGGCGTTGTGTTTGCAAGAGTTGGCCGCCACTATCGTCATCATCATCATGTGGTAGCGCCGGCGGTGAGCCCTGGCGGAAGCAAGCCTTCGTGGCGCATGGCGGTTGCTGCGAACGGTTGTCTCTAGCGTGGGTCCTCAGCGCGTGGCACCGCGTCCTGCGTTCCGGGCGGGCCCACGTGGTAAGTCAAGCGTTGGCGACGCCGCCTTGGGTGTGTTATTGTGTTTGTCGTGTTATTGTGTTATGTTGTTTGAGTGTATGGTAGTGTGTTAATTACAATTGATGGATTGATTCGGCAGACGGTATCGTCCTTCAAAAGTAGCTAAATAAATGTATGGATGTTGTTTGGTTTGTACCGACTGCGTCTGCTGTGTCCGTTCACTCCAAGAATGTAGCATAGCGTGGCGCTCGCTCGCCAATTCGAGACCCCACACACTAAACAAGGTGAACTGGAGCAATATGCACCTACAAAAAAAATAAAAGAGCATCGTGAAGGCTCAAATTCAGCAGGTCGATGAAAATGAGCAAGCATACCTTTTCGCCTATGCTCTTCAAGCCGCTCATCAATGATCTGAGACACTTCTGGCCAGACAATGTTGTTCAGTTGCTGTCGTTTCGCCTGCATGCGAGAGTGAACACAGCAGTTAAGCTCAGGAGGACAAGAAGTACAAGAGAGCCTTCCAAGTAGAATATTTATGCAAATGAAGATTCAATGCAAAACCATGTAAAAATCTGGCGATCATAATGAAACAAATAGTTTGGTGCAAAGGGAAAACAAGAACGTTTGATAACAACAGAGATAGACATCATTTGAACAGGTTCAAAAATCTAATGCAAATCAGGAGAAATTTCAGACCCTTCTGAAAAACTTTTACCCTACCATAGACATTAAAGGCAGTAACGTCTTCTGAAGAATGATTCCTTTCATTTCCTTTTCAACATTTATCTTACCTTCCATAGCCTGGACAGGCAAACATTTTTAGAAATGAAAGCAAAAACAGACAAATGTAGAAGAAAAATTTAGGTAGCTGAACTGTTTGCCCTGGTCATAAAAAAAGAATTGTCACTTAATCACAGTCTGCTCTTTCGTACTTCACCTGCAGTCCTTACTGGGAAGAACACTGTCCAAGGACTAAAAGCAATATCATGTTCGACAGATGGAAAACAAGCATATCATTTTAAACAAGCAGCATATATGTTTTGTTTGTTGCATTCACAGACAGATGAAAAGAAAGACCGTGCTGCAACAGTTGAGCAAGCATACCATGAAGTCACTAACCAATTTATTAATAAACAATTAATTTTTGATAAATATCATTACTGGCTACATCAAATTCAAGGTTGCATAAACATATTTTGGAGGGAAATTGAAAAAAAAAAAAAAGCTCTTTAGTGCCCCAAGATATCTATCCAGGGATGACAACAAATAATTTCAGCCTTCTGGTATGTCCTGGGATTTCTTCTGGCTCTTCCTCAGCCACACAAGTGAACCACCAAGTTACAACTCAGTAACTCTAAACTGCTGAACACAATTTGCTTTGCAGTTTCTCTAGTTTTATTGTAGTAAACATCTTCTGAAAGTTTCAGAAATATCTTAAAAATAAATAAGTTTGGTTTCCGGGGTAGCCTTTCCCCTTAAGTTTTTAATAGGACCAATGTTCTGACACTGAGCTAGAGTATCTGCTAAGTTCACAAGGGTGACTTGCTAAGCTTGATGACCTCCTATTCATATAATATACAGATGCATAAGACTTCGAAGATAGAATGTATAAGAATATTATATTCAAGATTTTAAGAACCACTATAAGCCCACATGCCAATGTAGTAAAAACTCATCTGGCAGCCTCACCTCATCTGCAAAAATGATGGCGCCAAGAACTTTTCTGTTGATTGTGCCATCAGCGCTAACCACTTTGTCACCGAAGGTCTCCACTATGCGGGAATATGCTTTTGTGCCCGGTCGGTAGCTTTCGTGGCCAAGTGGGTCGCAGTTGATCACCACAGCACCAGAGAGACTCGAGTGTCTTGATGATGTGGCTTTTGCCAGTGCAGATGCCCCCAGTTAAACCAACGAGGTAAGGTTTGTCAGGGAGATCAGGCCTTGGCTGTAAAACAGATGGTAACAGCAGGTACGATGGCATCAGAGATTTACGGCGTACCGTTTCTTCACCAAGAAAGAATTTCTGTTCAGTTGAACCATGCAGCTTAAATCAGTGAAACAGGATGTTAGTCACATGTACCCAATAAAGGGGGCACTGACACAAAATCAACAAGATTTCACAGCCTGCAAAATTGATATCCATGAACACATATATGCCATCTACCAAATCTTGGCAATGAATACAGCTTGAAACGTAACTTTTATGAATATTAAAGTTTGCATGTGCAGTTGAACGCTATACACCACAACTCACGACATTGTCTAAGAGGACCCGAAGAGGATCCTCAACTTCCATGACGTCACCATTGCAGCCGAGCTTCAAGTTGGCAAAGCTAGTGATCATGGCGTCATAGTTGCTCTTGTTGTGCTTCACTACAGCACACTACTAATTGGTGGCTCTTCATGAGTCAGTGCTTATGTCGAACATTTTGAAATTTTGTTCTTGGCAACACTATGTTCCTGTGACCAGATTAGTATGATCACGACAATGATAACAATGACACCAATTATGGTACCAACATTGTGCAGAACATGTGGCAGGCAAAAGAATGCACTTATTGGAAATTTATAAGCACTCAAAATGAACAAACAGATGTATATTGGTCTGCATGTAAACCCTCATAAAGATGGCTTCGCTGCAGTGCAGAGGTGGTAAACTATTAAAACACCTATTCAAAAAGAAAAAGATCTATATTGCTGCAAAGCAAACCTTAAAGTCATTTAAACATATGACCCACACATCGATTCATCATTTTTTAAATGTTGTATTCTCATTATACTGGCTTTTACTGCTCTAAGCATAGTAAATTTTGAAATGTAATTAAAGCATTTCACAGGTTATCACTTACATTCTACCAAAAGTCCAGTCCTGCTACATACTATTCAAAGTTGTTTACACTTTCTAGAAGCAAAAACAATGGCGCTTGCACAGACCTTGTTTCAATTAAAAAAATATATATCGTGAGCAGGTTAGTTGGGTCATGACAAATACACTCGTTTTTCTTTATATTATGTGACATATACTATTCAAATTAAATTCGACTATAAGTTCATTGAACCAAATCACTATTTGCTTCAAACCTGGAACTTACTATTCACACAAGCCTACAGTTATCACTACTTAACTGTAGGTAAAAGCAAGAGCAGCTGGAGGAGTTGACATGGCGACATGACAAATACAGGACCAGCTGCAATTGGGGAATGCTAGTTATACTCTGCCTTGGATAATCATGCTAGGACGTATGGGAACAGATTTATGTAAATACATGTACTATGTTACAATGTGTTCACGTAAATTCGTTCCTGCACACTACAGCACAATTATGCAAGAGTATGACTAATCCAATGCAGGAAGATGACTCAACACAATGATCAACTCAGTGTGCCGATAGTTCATCTTCGAGGAGATAGTGGGCCATTGCAGGTCTCGTTAATCAGCACGCCTGTTTTAATCTCAGCGGTTGTGTTGCAATACCGTGGTTCCCACAGACAGCTCTTAAATACCATGTCCTTTTCCTACAATAAAGAAATCTTCCACCGACTGACACATTCTTCTGTTTTTCACCTCTAGTGCATTTCAAACAGCCTCACCATGTACACAGTTTATTAGCCTGAGCAGATTACTAACTCGTGGCAGAAACTCGCCCCCTGCCCCTCAGCAACTGCTATATGAAGGCTGACGGTTTTACCATGCTGCAATTGATGTTACATTAATTGTTATGTGGGGTTTAACGTCCTAAAACGACCATCTGATTATAAGAGACGCCACAGTGGAATGCTCCGGAAATTTCAACCATCTGAGGTTCTTTAAGCGTGCACCCAAATCTGAGCACACAAGCATACAAAATTTTTGCCTCCATCGATAATGTAGCCGCCACAACTGCTACTTGAAAGAAAAAAAATTATGTTAAAATAGAAATGAATTGTCACATTTGTTAAAATAATTATTCTTCATCACAATTTCTTTTTTACAAAGGAATAGAGACCACGGTAAAAGTTACTTTGACTGCCATGCCCCAGGCAAAAAACTTTCCCCAAAGGAATGACAGTCAAACACGTATGAAAACCCACATGTACATTCATGAGCACTGTGAAATTGCACATGCTTCCAACATACCTTGGGTGGAGTAAGCAATGTGCCGAGCTGCCGCCGCCTCAGTGAAGATGAGCTCACTTTAAATTCCTCACCGCTGCACCGACAGACGTCTTCAGCTAGTCCTACGGATCGGATAACCATTGGAGGCATGCCCTGGATGTCAACAAAGTTTTTCTTTCAGTTAATCACCATTATAACAAAATGGTATCCAATACGGAAATACCTTCATTATACACTCAAGCCTAATTATAATGCAACTGGATATAATGAAATATAGGTTGTCATGAAGTAAATGAATAGTCTTGCAATAAATAGTGTGTTAGGAATAAGCCTTCATAACGAATTTTCGGATATACAGCAAACTTATTTTCATGTGAGATGCAATTTTGAGTAAACGCATGCTTCGAGTTCAGGATGCGGTCATGATGAACAAAGCTAAATGAGGCAGTGCTACGAGCCGTGGGAGCCCCACAAATTCCAAAAAACAATCCCTTCTCCTCTCCAAGCCTTTTGGCAGTGTTCAGTCCCCAAGTTTATACCGTGACGCCCACAATTTTGCTTGCTCATCATCCACAATACCTCCTAGTAAGCTCGCAAATACTTGCACTTGCCACTCTTCCTCTTGGCCCAGTCGGGACGAGCCGACAAACGAAGCATAACGAAGGGAAGAGTGAAACCGACAAGGGCCTATTCTGTATAATCAAATGCGTATAACCCTGCTACTACAGCACAGTTTGAAAAAAAAATCTCACAGCTACGTGTTCCTTGTAAACTCGTGCACAACTGTAACACCAAAAGTAAATTTCGACCTACGAGTGGTTATGTGAAGAGAAGTGATGCTTTCATAGGTCAAAAAAGAAAGAAACGACAGCACACTTTCTCTTTTGCCCAGTTACTGTATTATCTCTCTCAAAGCACAGCTAACTTGAACAGTTTTATCCAAAAGTTACCTCCCGTCAATATTTTGCCGTTGTGAGATAAGGAGAGCACGGAGTTTTTTTTTTTTCCTATTGAAAAGGCTAAACACGACAATGAAAGTAATGGCTTATCTCGCAAAACAAACAGCCATTGTATCAATGCCTTCCTTCAACACGCAATGTCACGGTCACAGTGGCTCTTTTAAAGATAAGATAGTAACAGAGGCTCTGAAAGTAACGTACAGTGTATTGATTGGGCCTCTTTCTTATCATGGTCTGGCCTCAAATCGACAATAAGGCAGATATTTGCTGTTACACGCGACAAAAGCAAACATCCTTGTGCGAGTGTCAGGGGCGTCCATACTTGTGTGTTGACGCCTTTAACGAAGAGTGTTTTCGTGGAAGGATGGCTGAAATGACAACAAGCATTTCGGTAGAAATAATAGATATAAAATTCACCTTCTCATGCTTTGACAACAACCTGGCTCAAATTTACTTCACTACTGCAGCAGCACCATGTACCTGCAGTTGGCGTGAAAAGCAAAATATTTTGAACCCTAATTAATTCCTCAAATGGTAATTAGCAACATTCGTAGACATTCTTATGCTCTTTTTAAGCTTATGTACCAAGACAGGTTACCTGTCGTTGATTAAAATTAATGCAAAAAAGATGCGACAAAAGCAACAATACTTGTGTTGTCCATTTTGGTCTTATCGATTGCTATTATATATAATATATGCTTCTCCTTGACTGTAAAGACAATTATTCGGTATGAAAATTGCACCCCGGTACCCAGCGCATGTTTATTTCCCTTTCGTCTTTTGTTGTCTTTGCACCTTTCCCCTCGGAACAGACAATTGTCAAGAAAGCCCATAAGGAAAAATATTAAAACGCTACTCAAGGTCTTGAGCAAGGTTGCTTTATTTTCCCTCTTTTAAGCATAACACACTTACTTGCCTAACTAACCCAAATTTTTTTTATTGAAGTTAATTTGGTTGCTATAATTTGTAAAATTTGCCTGATAATTTTCTACTTTTGGTTATTGAAAATTGCTGAACGAATTTGTTTTTTCTTTGACTTGCGAGCTGCCACAGATGCTACGGATTGGTTTTCATGTCTGTGTACACCAAATGGTTGAGAGCTGAATTTGAGTCTTGTTGGCACAACACACATTGATGAAACAAATGCAAAGCTGGTCAAATAATAATACAGTGCTACATAGAGGGCTCTTGCTCTCTTGAGAAGTCTGATGCCAAGAACGGAAGCTGATTCTAAAGTCCAAAAGTTCACTGCCTCATAGCATGGGGCAACAGGTGTTCAGCAAAATGTATCACAGCTGCTCTGATATCACAGGAGCAAAAGGGAAATATTAATTGCTATTTTATTATTTCCCTTTTAGTTTAAATTTTGCTTACTTTAACAGCCTTCTGATGTAATAAATGCTTCATATCAATTGCACTATACGATGGTTCTGAGCTACGCTCGTTGATTTATGTTTATTACAGTGAAACAACAGATGACAGAATGGTTGAATGGCAGGGCATCATATTGTCTTGCCAGTTAATTGGTGCCATCACCTACACCGTTTCGCAATCAATAATTTTAAAATACTTCATGCCTGTAGCCGATTTCGTTACCCCCTTCCCCTGCTTCTCATCACGCCTAAAGATTGCAGATGTGAAAGCACAAACCCGTCTGGCTCGTTCCTCATTGACCAGTCTGCCTCCTTTCATAGTTTCTTCACTGACGTACAGGCATTCCAAATTATCGTCTTCAATGGTAGGACCATAGGGGTTGTAGATCGGCTGCACATCATAGTGAAGTGTTGCGTCTATGTCATGCAGAAAGTCTAGCAGGGCACACATGCGTGCCTCCACGGGCTCTATCAGCTCCCAGAGCAACTTGCCTGCAATAGAATACAAAAAAAAAATCAGGCTGAGGAAAAGTAACGAAAAAAATAAATTATGGTACACGGTTTGTTTAGGACGACTCCGATTTGTGCTGACCACCCCGGATTATTCATTACCACCTGAGCAGACGGTTATTTTTGTATTATGAGCCCATCTATATGAATCCTTCACTGTTAGGAATTGTGCCCATGCCCTCGAGCTTAGCAGAGCGACAACTTAGTCAACTAATCTACCAAGATTGGTAAAGTAAGGAAAATACAGGCAGTAGCCATGAAACAGCATTTCTACATGAAGCATCATAAAGTTTTTTATGAATTCTGTTCTAGTGATCAAAAACTAAATTCAGCCTGAGAAAAGCAGAGTTTATTATTACATATCCCACATCTATTTACTTCTGTCAAGAAGATATAAAAATTAAGTTTCACCAAGGTTATATCCTCACAACTGACATATTGCCTGTCATACACAAATGGCTTGCATAATTACGAATGATAAAAGTACAGAGAGAAAAATATGTCGGGCTGCATTCCTATTCTAGTAAGCATAATCAATAATAAGCTTCCTTCAAAGCCACCTAAACTAAGAAAAGAAGTACAGAAACCAAGCTCGAAGAGAATTTGTAAGAATTGAAGAAAATATGTGATGTTTTTGCCACAGTTACACTTAATTAAAAAAACAAAAAACACATATCATACATATGATGACTTTCAAGAAGTATGTAAAGTGTATCTCTGTTGTATAGCAACAGTACATGGCTAGAATGTTTAAAAAAAAAAGGATAAGAATAAATTCAAATGAAAGCTTAAGAAAACTAGCCAATGAGTCGCTATGCTTTACAGTGGTATCCACAAATTTTGTTTCGGGCATTTCTCAAGTCAAATATACTAGCCTGACGCATGTCGTTATGGCTAACAACGAGAAATGTGTACAACTAGACTGTCATTCACATTTTACAAACAGCACAGACATTCACCTTTCAACATGTCGCCATCCGTTACTCCAACAACAAGTTTGCCCGTCGCATGCAACACTGCCTCTGAAAGGAGCACCTTGTGGCCAAGGTGCAGGCGGTCGAAGGTACCTCCAAGACAGACACTATCAAAAGTTTGAAAGGTGGAGCTGTTTTGGACCCCATTGCTTCCATGACTGAAGCCATTGAAGTTGTCTTCGTTGGTCTCATTGACAGTCAACTTGCAGTCAAGGCGGTGGAAATTTGAGCAGCTCTTGTTAAACTGGTGTCCCACATACAGCTCCAAATCGGTACGGGCATGGCTTCCATCTGTTAGCACAACATCAAACGATGGCTTCAAGTGGTTCTCCTTACGAGCAGGATCCTTGAAGCACGTCTGAAGAACTCTGATGTCAAGGTGTGCGCACACTCCAGCGGCTTTGAAATATATGTCTGGTATAAGCTTTCGTAGTTGGGACAACTCAGAAGGCGTGAAAACGGGCTGCTGGACAGGCCACAAGTGGTGCTGGTTGGGCTCGAGCTTTATGTATAAAGTCTTGTTTACAAAGTTCTTGGCAGCCTTCAAATAGGCGGATACATTAGTTGTCAAGATCCTAGGCGATGAGGTTAAAATTAGGAGACCTGTATGGAACATGGCAGGCCTCAAGACAATTCCCTGGAAATCGCAGCGTAACTTTCTTTTTGTATAAAGCGAACCAAACGAAGCAGATATCTTCACCGAAGCCCTGAAAAAATAGAGAGATTATAAGGGGGAAACAGAAGTCAGCAGAGCATGCAAATGTAACGTAGCACGAAAATAATAAACCATTAATGTATACGCAATTAATGTTACCTAGTCAAATTGACGAGCCATATATAACTTTACTTAAGCAGTTCGGTGATACGTCTTGCAGCATCACCGTTAGCAAAGATTACAGCACCTTAATAACAACCAGTTCACGCAAGGCAAGCAACCTGAAAGCATGCGTGATTGAGAACGAGATACGAAACAATCTAGCCACAAAATAACCGCGGACTACAGCGGTTCACTCGACCAGTGGGCACGCACCTGAATACTGTAGAGATTTGGTCCACTTTGAATCGTACCTACGCTCGAGGAAACCTACAAGGAAACATCAGCGCGAACCGCAGCAAACACAACTCGGCGACAGCAGCCGCATTTCGCAAATCCTTCTCGCCTGCGTGTGGAAGGGGAGACGAGGGAGGACGTGCGCCGTGCGCTTTCATACCACGTGCTTCCTGCTTCCGTTCAAGCCTTGCCCGAAGACTTCACAAGATGCATCCTGCGTAAGAAATACTGTCATGTGCCTTTCTTCTACGGAGTGCTCTGCACCTACGTTGTGATAAGTTCTAAGCCTGGCCGTTACTTCAATTGCGGAATACACAACCTTAAAAAAAGCGCTGCCTTACAACCTAGTGGTTGTTTTGCAGCGCCACTTTAACCAACTAGCGGTAGAAATCTGAACGTGCGCGTCTATGCGCCTTTTTAGTTTTGAATGGTGCGAGCTGGAAGAGTGCGGGTAGTGCCTAGTGCGGAGTGTCTTCATTCACTGCGCGGCTAAACCATCCGATAGAACCGCCCTCTTGTTTTTACCTTTAAAAATACAATATTTTCAATAACGCGTCTACGAGCACCCCGGTGGACTGGTTGATGAGGCGACGAAGACAAGATGCCTTCCCGTTTAAGTTTGTGGTTAAGTTGTTAGCGTGTTGGTGTGGTGGGTGAAATGGTCACGAGACAAATCTTCGATGAGGTAAGGGTGCTGTGCACGAGCAATTTCGCGTCAAGCGGCTACATGGGCCGAATTAGGCTTAATATTGATGTCGATAGGCACGTGGTTCCTTTTCCACAATTTTGCTGCAGCTGTGTTAGCGTGATCCATCTTAGTTTTGGTCCTACGAACGATTAAAGCGGCAGCGCAACGTTTGCACTGAGAGAGGTGGCCCGATTCCGTGTCTCTCCGGAGCGGCGCTTCTGCATTGCGGGTCCGGTCGCGGCTAGTTAACATTTCGCTCTTTTCGCTGCCAATTTCGATTGTTGTTAACCTCTGCTAAGGATCAGGCGCAGTACTTGGCCTCCTTAAGCATGCATAGTGAGGGGTCATTCGATCACCACTGCACTTGCGTAGTAATGCTGTAGTGGTGCGATTGGTATGGTTACCTGACCAGCACCAAAAAGCCGTGTGTGATGCAGCGGCATACATCACGACCGTGGGAATGCACTCAATCGTTGCTATAGGTTTGCAATGCGCTAAGCCTGCTCTAAATTCCCGATTCAGATAGGTTAAAATATACGAGAACCCCAGAACACCGCAAATGACTCTGCCTGTGTCGGTTATCGGAATGCAGTATTTGGTTGTCGTTGGAAAGAACGAATTGCGGGCTCGCTTCTACAGCTACGTCATTGCGAACTTTGATGTGAAAAATGTAGTTCTGATTACGCTAGAAATTCTACACCGTTTTGTATCGCTGCCTTATCTCATGAGCCCGATCAAATGCCACCATAGAAGACATCAGAACGTACTTGCTTGTTCATTTTTATTTTGCTTAGTTTTGTTGTCACACAGAAGGTTAGTCTCCTGCTTGAACCTGTAACAAGAAGCAGTGTAGTTGGGAAAGTAACAGCTAGTTCAATCGCTAATTACACAAACATAATAAGATAATAAGTGAACAAAGTAACGTGACACAATGTTACAAGACGAGCCATAAAATAAGACTGGATATTTGCATGTGAGTAATGAGATGAACACACAAATTACATTTTATTCAATGTCTTTTGTGTATGCATGTGTGTGCAGAATAGTGCAGTATTCAGACCAACCATGCTCTATTAGGTAGGCACAGCTAAATTGCCACTGTGTATGCAGAATAGTGCAGTATTCAGACCAACTATGCTCTATTACATAGGTAAGCTAAATTGCCACTGTTTCTTGTATTGTTATAGTCTGGTCTGGTAACTTTGTGCAGTGTTATCAATTATGGCTTGTGTACTTACTGTATCATTGTTTGCAATAGTTAAAAATTGTGTAAGATATGTTAGCTGGGTAGTAGATTACTTATTACAAAAAAAGGTTATGCATGTTTTCACTGCCTTGAAACTTTGCTTTAAATGCATCTGTGATTCTAGCTAGCCAAAAAATGATGCTTTGATTTCAAGATCGGTAGCTGGTTCATGTAATGTCCACAGGGACGTTGTACCCTATCGCACTTCAGTGTAAGCAAAGTGCTGCACTGATGCTAATGCTTGATGAGCAAAAGACAGGATGATATCTGATAACACTGATAGTCGTGCCAGCTATTAGCAGCTTGAATGCAGTGTGAAGAAGAAAATGCATCATTGGCAAGCAGCATCACCACCGCTTGGGTAGTAGGTTCTGGGCTCTGCTCGCTCACCTCGTGCTTATCGTCGCCGGCATCTGCCTGAACGTTGCTCTGTCCCAGTCGTGTTTTCTTCGTAGAGCTGCCATCGCAATACACAACAATAAACCCCTTTTCAATTGGTGGAGGGCGCTGACATTCCCCGTCGCCTAAACCTGGAGCTGCACAATCGAACGCTACCATCCATCATGGCCACCAACCCGTAACCTGGCTCTTCCACTCCATCCTCCAGCACCCCTGGCGTTCTTCGCTTGTGAGAGCCCAAGGTCTTTAGCGGAGCTGATGAGACCGACGTGGAAGACTGGTTCACCCACTACGAACTGGGGAGCGCAAACAACAAGTTGAATAACGCGGACAAGTTGACTAATGTCATCTTTTACCTCGCTGACATTGCCGAAATGTGGTATAACAACCACAAAAACAACATTATGATGTGGTCTATCTTCAAAATGTCATTTGCTGATGTTTCTGGCCGACCCCCTGTCCACAAGTCCAAGGCCGAACAACGCTTGCGGACTCACGCACAGAAGCCATCGGAATCGTTAACCGGGTACACCGAAGACATTGTTGATCTTTACAATCGTGTCAACACCGCCATGCCTGAGTCAGAGAAGATTCCTGCCACCGTTGCGGAACTCGTCACTTTATGTCAAGGTTTGGATGAGTTGAGGAAGCAGCGCGCCCTCCCTGACTTGGCCATTTTTTTTATACGCCAACTCGCTCTCCAGTCTTACTTCTCTTCCCGATTACTAACCGACCCTGCAAGTGATTGAAAGACTTTTTGCGTGAAGTAGCTTGGCAACTGTCGTCGATTCCCTTCACGCAGCAGCCGCTGTCCTCTCATCTGCCTGCCGAAGAGGTAGCTCAAGCTGTTCCCGTCGCTGCCCACCAGCAGCTTGTGGCCACGCCTGTTCCCCATGGGCCGGCTATGCAGCCCGCAGCCGCGCCTCTTATGTATGCCCAGGTGGTACGCAGCAGACCACCCCAGCAGCATTTGCCACCCATGTCTTCACCTGCTTCTCACTCCGCCCCACTTTCGACACCATGGGCCACACCGCGAGTCGGCAATTTCTGGCCCACTCCCGACAATCGACCGATCTGCTACACCTGCGGTACTCCAGGACACGTGGCACGATAGTGTCGCCATCGCCTCCACCCACTCAACGATGCTACTCGGCCGTTCCCGTATGACCCACAACCCATGCACCTACTTGCTCCATATCCCTCACCGCAGTCATCATCAGCCTGACTACGTCCATTGCAGGACAAAGGCCTCTCCCATGTTTCCGCCCGGTCCTGTGCTTGCTGCTGCCAATTTATACTCGCAAACTTCTTAATCTCATCTGCCCACCTAACCTTCTGTCTCCCCCTAACCCGCTTGCCTTCTCTGGGAATCCAGTTAGTTACCCTTAATGACCAGCGGTTATCCTATCTACGCGCTAGATGCCCGGCCCGTGTTTATTCCCTCTTGATTTTAACTATCATATCCTTAACCCCCGTTTGTTCCCTAATCCACTCTGCTCTCTTCTTGTCTCTTAAGGTTACACCTACCATTTTTCTTTCCATTGCTCGCTGCGTCGTCCTCAATTTAAGCTGAACCCTCTTTGTAAGTCTCCAGGTTTCTGCTCCGTAGCTAAGTACCGGCAAGATGCAGATGTTATATACCTTCCTCTTGAGGGGTAGTGGCAATATACCTGTCATAATTCTTATTCTTCAATCTCGTGGTTCGGCTCTGCGGTTATTACCTGTCCTAAGTAGACATAGTTATTTACAACTTCAAGTGCACTATTACCTATCTCGAAGCGCTGCTCTCTTCCGAGGTTGTTGTACATTACTTTCGTTTTCTGCAGATTAATTTTTAGACCCACCTTTCTGCTCTCGTTGTCTAACTCCGTATTCATGAGTTGCAATTCATCCCCTGAGTTACTCAGCAATGCAATGTCATCGGCGAAGCGCAGCTTACTAAGGTACTCTCCATTAACTCTTATCCCTAACTGTTCCCATTCTAGGCTTCTGAAAACCTCTTGTATGCAGGGGTATACAGCATTGGGAAGATTGTGTCCCTCTGCCTTACACCCTTCTTGATTGGTTTTCTGTTGCTTTCTTTATGAAGCACTGTGGTAGCAGTTGATACCCTGTAGATTTCTTGCAGGATGTTTATATATACTTCATCGACGCCCTGATTCCGCAGTGTCTGCATGATGGCTGATATTTCTATTGAATGAAATGCCTTCTCGTAATCTATGAAGGCTATGTATAGTGGTTAGTTACATTCTGAGCATTTCTCTATTACCTGATTGACAGTATGAATGTGGTCGATTGTTGAGTAGCCTGTTCGAAATCCTGCTTGTTCCTTTGGTTAATTGAATTCTAATGTGTTTTTTTTTGCTCTGTTAGCAATTACCTTTGTAAATAGCTTGTATACTACAGAGAGCAAGCTGATGGGCCTGTAATTCTTCTATTCCTTGTGATCTCCTTTCTTATGTATTAAGATGGTGTTAGGATTTTTCCAAGACTCTGGTACTCTTCCCATCAGAAGACACCTCGTAAACAGGGTGGCTAGTTTTTCTAACACAATCTGTCCTCCATCTTTCAGCAGATCTGTTGTTACCTGATTCTTACCAGCAGCTTTGCCTCTTTGCATGCTCTCCAAAGCTTTTCCGACTTCTTCTATCATTACTGGTGGGGTGTCATCTAGGTTACTGCTAGTTCTTATAGTATTAAGATCGTGGTTGTCCCGGCTACTGTACAGATCTCTGTAAAACTCCTCCACTATTTTAACAATCCTACCCATATTGGCAGTTATTTATTTTGCCTTCTTTGTCCCTTAGTGTATACATCCGATTTTTGCCTATCCCAAGTTTTCTCTTCACTGCTTTGACGCTTCCTCCGTTTTTCAGAGCATGTTCAATTCTCTCAATGTTAAGTCTTCTTACATCGCATACCTTACACCTATTAATCAACTTAAAAAGCTCTGCCAGTTCTATTTTGTTTGTTGTACTTGAGACTTTCATGATTTGACGCTTCTTAACGTGATTCTTCGTTTCCTGGGAAAGCTTGCCAGTGTCCTGTCTAACTACCCTGCCTCCAACTTCCACTGCACACTCCGTAATGATACTCGTCAGATAATCATTCATTGTATCTACGCGAAAGTTGGTTTTCTCACTAAGGGCCGAGTACCTGTTCTGAAGGGAGACTCTGAATTCCTGTATTTTCCCTCTCAGTGCTAGCTCATCGATTGGCTTCTTGAGTATCAATTTCTGTCGTTCCTTCTTTAAGTCTAGGCGAATTCGAGACCGTACCATTCCATGGTCACTGCATCGTACCTTGCCAACCACTTCCACGTCCTGCACGATGCCTGGGTGTGCACTCATTA